CCCATTGTTCGAGAAACAAGTCATCATAGCAGGAAACTATTACAAACCAGACTCCATTAAGCAGTCGTATCTGGGAGTGCATTTGAATAACAAGAACTTACAGTAAATGTGTGATGACGTCTGAAAAAAAGGGGAGGGGGGGACAAATACGTACAGGATCAGCGATATTACTACATGTCCGGTAATGCATTTGCATATCAGTGCTGTCCAAAGAAAAACATGTTACAGGAGAAGGAAACAACCTTCTGAACTTCAAGCTGTTTTGGAGCATTTCTATTGGTCACATAAGGAGTGTGTTTACATGCATTTAATGATCCGATAACTGCAGAAAATCAGATTTTGTCAGCAATCCGATCATCGTGTTTATATGCACTTGAGTAATCAGATAATGGGGAAACTCCGGGTCTGCACGAGTCAGACAATGATTAGATTTCTGCTTTGCAACCAGCCACTAAACTCACAGAAAGCGTGGCGTAAACGTAAAACTTCACGAACTGCTTTTAACATTGCACCACTTTACCTGAAAATATCAAGAACATGAAGAATATTTAAACCTTTATTTCATGTTTGGTTTCAGCGGCGCTCTAAAAGTGTTTTGCTGCATCTTGCGACATCCACCGCCTGTCCTCATAGATGCACAAACTGAGAAATCGGAAAGAAATCAGAGTAAGAGTTCACATGCACTGAGAAATCTGATTACTGAGCTAAAATCTAGCTCTCTTTAACAGATTTCTAGATCGAAGCATGGTGTTTACATGGCAATTTGAACAATCGGATAACTGCAGAAATCCGATTATGATCGGATTATTGAGTGCACATACTCTAGGTAAAGGACACCTGGCTTGTTGAAATGAGGTTGAAAAATAAAAATGTGTTTTTTTGGTAAGCGACGACATGTTCACCTACTGAGGCTGCAGAAGCCTAGCCTGCATATTCACATCAAAGTTATAGGAGTGTTTCATCAAAGGGGTCTGCTTTTTGTACAAGGCAAAATGCAGGGCAGCCAATCAGAGCAGAGATCATTTACATATATGAGTCTAAAAGAACAGTGAATAGACTAACCTGTTGATTCTAAGAGATACAGAAGAACAGCAATCGTGAAAAATAAATCATGACTGAATTTAGCACTTAAAACTAGGGCTGCAAAATGTAATTGATATCATATCAGTATTGGCAGAAAACTGCTTTAAAATATATTCGGAAAAGGACGGATTTGACCAATATTTCAAAATATATTTAATGACGTATTTATTGTACTCCAGAATGTTTAGGTGAAGTCAGGCAACTGTGCTAAAATGTATTCATTTAATTCATTTTACTGTCTCTGCAACCCCCTATAAATATAGGTTTTATTTAGTGTTGCACCGATATCGATTCTGTATTGGTACCGTAACAGGAATACCGATATATATGACCGATACTGACGCATGAATACGCGCCAGTAGTCGGAACTTAACAACACGTCGGCGGTGTGGGACGACAAGCAGCGGTAAAAGCAGTTTTGGTGAGAAAAACCCACTAACGGAGCCACTAACCTATACAGCTGAGCTGCTTCTTTCAGTAATCACTCGTCCGCCCCGTGTGGTCACTAACACACTGAGTTAATGTTATTGAGAGAGGAGCAGAAACCGCAGGACTCTCGGCGTAATGATAGCACTTAGCCTCAATTTAGCCTTTAGTATAGCAGCCCGTTAGCCAGGCCTGTGCGTCCACTAGCCCTGCCTGTGTTTTGCCTTCATGAGTCAGCTGTATCACTCATCAGCGGGGTCTCGTCGCTTCAACAAAGCCAGAAAAAACAATGAAAGTCGCTGATACTGACAGCAAGAACGACTGATATTTACTGAACTGACGCTCAGAGATGCAGCGCGAGTTAACAAGACGCTCGTATGAGACAAACAATTTTAGAAATTTGGATGTGAAACAACATTCAGCTCCGTTTTTGAGCCAGAGATGCTGCTGTTTGCTGATGTGTAAACACCACAGGTTTATCTGTTTACTGTTCAGCTCTGCTTTTTTCACAATAAATATCTTTTACATTTACTTAGATTGTTATACATGTTTTTTACTACTAATTATACGGGGTGATTCAAAAAGATTCATCTGGTTTCAAAGCGCCATATTTTTTACAACCGTGAGGCGCCTAGGAACCAATCACATACCAATTGAAAGAGGGGATCATAGAGTTTCTGACTGTCAGTGGAAGATGGCTCCCTTCAGTCTGAGAGGAGATGAGACCCCTGAGCAGAAAGCGTTCTGCGTTCTCCACTTCAATAAGAGTGAATCCGTCATAACTGTGCAGCGTGATTTTCGTGGGCAGTGAACCTCCAACAGCTCAGAGCGTTCGGCGTTGGTTCCACAACACTGGATGATCTCCACACTGAAAGAGCCGTGAGTGCAGCGACACCCGACGTGCTCAATCCAGTATGGGATGAATTTGACTATGGCGTTGATGTCTGTACAGCTGGAGGAGGTTCATACTGAGACCTTGTAAAATAACATTATAAACTTTATGCTCATTTAAAACCATTTACAGTTTACTGCATTGTTCTGTAATGATTTACAAGTGAAATAAATCACTTTGAAATCAGATTAATCTTTTTGAATCACACTGTATGACAGTAAATACTACATTTATACAGTAAATAAACAAAAATAATTTCTTAAGCATCTAATAAATATAATCTGACAAGTAAATGCCATATAGCCGTGCTGAGTATGTTTTATTTGTGACGCAGAACACAGATTTGACCAACATAAGATATTTTAAAACTGTAACTGTATAAATATCAGGACTAGGTAAGTTAGGTGAGATAGAGTTAGTATCGGTACTCAACATCGGCCGATACTAAAAGAGCAGGTATCGGTATCGAAAGGAAAAAGTGGTATCGGTGCATCTCTAGTTTTATTTCTCCAAAATGCTCATCCAGGTAAATCTTGTTGCGATTTTTACATTTACAGAGTGATTATGTATTGGCACCAGCAGGTTTGTACATAAAAATATCCGATATTAGCATTAGCCACAATTCCTAAAGTGGTGCATCTCTACATAACACCACACAGCTACCACTGGAGGCAAAAGAGAAAAGAAAAACATAAAATATGGGCCCTTTAAAGGAGAACCGCACCATTTTGAACAATTTCTGAATAATTCAGTCCTTGAGATTCACCCAGTCATTCAGAGTAGTCTGATGTGAAGTGATTCATCGTAAAGAAACTTATAGACTCAGATGTCTTTACAGTGGTGGTGATAGGAACCAGCATATCTAACCACTTCATGTAATAGCTTTCTGTGAAGGAGCTGTTAGAGGTGAACGTCTGGTTCCTATCACCACCACTGTGAGCAATTCTGACGTGGTAAGTTTCTCTAGAACTGACTGTTTCACACCAAACCACTCTGAGTGACTTTGTTTATGTCTAAATCGTGTAATTATGCGAATTTGTTTGAAAATATGGTGGAGTTCCCCTTTAATCGTGACGTCTGTGGTCAGTGTTTCCAGAAAACAGACAAACTAAACTATTCAGCAAATGAAAACAGATTGCAGACACACACACACACAGAGCCAGGAATCAAGGCCCTCAGGTGGTTGCGGATTTGCCCCAGACCCACCCAGCACTGCCCCCCTCACACAGCATGAGGGTAACAGAGCCTTCTGCTCCAGCAGAGGGGGGAGGGGGCATTTCAGCATGAAGCCAGTCATGGAGAAAGGGAGGATGAAGGCTGCTGTCTAAGGAAGAACCCCTTGCACATTTTTAGGTCACTGTTGTCCGCAGTCCCTGTGGATTTCCATCAAAATGGCCTAAACTTAGCAACCTAAAAAGCAGCACAACATCCTAAAGAATGTCTCACATCTGCTGCACTAACTTGGGTGGGTGGATGCAACGTTACAGAAAAGCGCGCCGAAAAAAATCTGGCAAGAAACAAACAAAACAACGCTGACCGGCAAATATTCACAGCAGAACGTGTCTGTATTATATTTTAGGTAGATTTTACTGAGGTAAAAAATGACAGGAGCATAACTGAACGAAACTGAAGTCAGCGTCTTATTCGAATTTTCCCGTTCCACCTTAAACGGCGATGTAACCGCTGCACCATTTAAGGTGGAACGGGAAAATTCGATGATATTTTATGTAGATTTTACTGAGGTAAAATTGACAGGAGCATAACTGAACGAAGCTGAAGTCAGCGCCTTATTCTAATGCTCCCGTTCCACCTTAAACGGCGATGTAACTGCTGCACCATTTAAGGTGGAACGGAAAAAAATCGATTATATTTTTGATAGATATAACTGAGGTAAAAATGACAGGAGACAGGAGCATAACTGAACGAAGCTGAAGTCAGCGCCTTATTCTAATGCTCCCGTGCCACCTTAAACAGCGATGTAACTGCTGCACCATTTAAGGTGGAACGGGAAAATTCGAATAAGACGCTGGCGAATAGGAAGCCGCTGAGGTGAACAGCAGCAAAATAACGTTAGACTCAGGTTTCACTGGGTACCTGAAAACAGATTTTGGTATTTTTTTAATAGTAAATAGTGTCAAGTGGCTCCATTGTTAGACTAATAAGCAAATGTTTGATATTTTCACACATCTCTAAGCGTTTCTAAGGTAGGTTATGGGTTGCGCGTTAGCCTGACTGAGATTCATCACAGCCCAACCGCCAACTCACAAAAAGTCGTTAGGAAAACGTACCGTGGAAGTGACCGTAACTCATGTTGGAAGGAAAAAAACAAATCAAAATAAGCCATTTTTATTAAGGCAGTCCTTTTAAATATAAGTATCTATCTAACTTATTCTTTCAGCAGGTTAGCTAGCCGGCTAGCTAATCTAGCGTACGTTACTTTCCTCTGTTGACTGGCAAAGCTAGCCTAGCTTTGTTACGGAGATCAGCGTCAGTCTTTAGCATCCATCTGCACTTTAACTGGTTTTAACGGCTCTTTTTCTTCCGTAACGCGGAGGCAAGACGGGAAAACCTGTCCGATATCACAGGTGAATCTCCTTACCTTTGGCATCGCTGTCTTCCCGCAAAGCTTCAGTCACTGCTTTCCAGATATCGCATCCTAAAAGGCAGAGCACGACCGCCACAGACCTGCTGATCCCCGTGAGCCGCATGATTGAACTTCGACAGAAAAACAGGTCTCTTTTCAACAACGGGCACTTTCTATAGCGCTACGACGCCGTCCGCGGTTCTGGTCCCGTCCATAATTCCGCGTATTTGTTGCTCATATCGTTCATGTCGTGACGGCTGACGAAGAACATCCAGTGCACATCCTCCTCCCCTCCTCCGAGACGCCGCTCAGCCGAGTGTGTGTGTGTGTGTTTTGGGCCAGGAGAAGTCCTGCACATCGGAGGGAAAGAGCGCCACCGGGTTAACCCTTCCCCTGTCCACAGAGCCAACTTCTGTGGCTCGATCCCGAATAGCTCCCTTACTCTCTATGTAGTGCACTTCGTAGGTCGTTAATAACGTTAATAATAACAACGTTAAGTAACGTTTCGGCGCTGAATCAGTCCATCTGAATTAATGTACTAATGTACTAATGTACTAAAAATAACGCGGGTTTCGATTCTGAATTAATGTACTAGACAATCCATAGTGAGCTATTTGGGATTGAGCCTAAAATAAAACCCCAGCGATGCACACAAAAATGACAGAGGAAGGGCGCCATCTGGCGGATGGCCGCAATAACAACATTCAGAACTTTTCAATTGAATATTAGTAATTGTGAATTCTTCTGTCTCTCACAACTGAAACAAATGCCCTATTCATCCACGTTATTGATTATAACCAAACTATTGATTTATCTCTTTGGCCTTTGGAGGGAGAGAAAGAGCGCCACCGGTCTAACTCTTCCCCTGTCCACAGAGCCAACTTCTGTGGCTCGATCCCGAATAGCTCCCTTACTCTCTATGTAGTGCACTTCGTAGGTCGTTAAAAATAACGCGGGTTTCGATTCTGAATTAATGTACTAGATGACCCATAGTTAGCTATTTGGGATTCATCCTAAAAAATAAAACCCCAGCGATGCGCTCAAAGGCAAAAAATGACAGGGGAAGGGCGCCGCCTGGCGGATGGCCGCAATAACAAAATTCAAAACTGAATATTAGTAATTGTGAATTCTTGTCTCTCACAGCTGAAACAAATGCACTATTCATCCACTTTATTGCTTAGAACCAAACAATTGCTGTATCTTCTTGGCCTGAAGTCTCTGAAGTGTTCCGCTCCGCCCCAAGTTTAACCCCTCCCGCTGTCGACGGAACCGTACTAAGCACAGAACCCATAATAAAATACGAACCTCTGTGGCTGAATCCCAAATAGCTAATTCCACATATAGTGCACTACGTGTGTCATCAAATAACAATGTCGTCTACATCCAATCAGTGCACTAGATGTCAGCCATTTGGGATTCGGCCCAAAATAAAACGCAGGCGTTGCTCCTACAGTCAAAAACTAAAGGAGAGTGGCGCCATCTGGCGGATGGCCGCGATAACAACAGTGAGAACTTTAAAAATTGCACTGATTTTTCTTTCTTTTTGTTGTTCTTTGGTACAGTTTGAGTAATTGTGCAACTGAAACAGACACATTCACTTTATTCCTTATAAATAAACTATTGCGTCACCCACTTGGCCTAAAATCTCCACACTGTTCTGTTTAAAGCTACCAGTTTAAAGGGGAATTCCACCCATTTCTCCGAATTTCTGCATAATTCGGTTGTTGAGTTCTTAAGAAACTTACCAACATTGATTTCCTTACAGTGGTGGTGATAAAAACCAGGGGTCACAATGTCTACAACACAAATATAGACATTTTATTTACCATCCAAAGCCACCAATGAACTTACACGTGTTTTTTGGGTTTTTCTCTACATCTTAAGTTTTCTTTACATCTTAACCATTTAATTATACAGAAAATTCCCCTCTCACCTTATCCTCTCCACAGAATCCATCAACACAAAACTCATAATAAAATGTCTGTGGCTGAGTCCCAAATAGTTCTCTTACTCCCTATATAGTGCACTACGTAGACCATTACATTGTAACGGCTTTTACATGTAATTAGTGCACTAAATATCCATCAGCGAGATAACTGGGATTCTCCTTGTTATGATACCAGTGACGCTCACACAGTCAAAATTTGACGCCGAAGGGCGCCACCTGGTGGATGGCTGCGATAACAAACTTGAGAACCTTCACTGAGAGTGGGAGAAGTCGCGTGCAAAAGTTTGGGTGCCCCTGGTCAAGCTACGTATTTTATTGATTTTCTAAGAGAAAATAACATCCTCTACAGTGAAACAGTCCACACTTCTGCACTCTCATTCGCTGAACTTAACATATTGTTCAAGAAGAAATGATACAGTGTAAAATGTGGCCTGAACAAAAGTTACGGCACATTTTATATTTTATATTATCCCCAATATGTCAGCAAATAAAGAGAAGGTGTACACTAAAATAAAAACAAAAATGAAAAAAATCCCTAAACATAAATTTAACTCCTGCAGTTTTTTTTATTTGTCAAACACAGAAAGATTTTACAAAGAAAGAAAACTTGTTAAAATTTGTTAATTCACAAATTTTGGTATCAGCAATCAGAAAGCGATATTTAATTAGTGCTGGTAAAAAAAAAAAAGACTTTTTCAAGTTGGCAAGATTTTGGTGCTCACTAGTAAGAACGAATGGCTTTTCCAATGGATTTTAATGGAAGGAACCAGTTTTACCAGTAAGAATGAAAGTCTAACCTGTGGCGATTCCATTTTCACAAGTGAAATTTCATAATTATTGCATGTCCAAACTGATTTCCTACCACTGTGACTAATGGAACAACACAGCAGTGGAATATAGAGAATAAAAAAACAATGCATATTTAAAATAGGCTATGAATTTTAGTTAAAAAAAGCCATACTTTGTTTATTATTATAATAAACAATTACAATTAATTCTAACAAATAAAACAATTAATGCCATTTATTTATCCAGCTTAGCGTTTAGCACTGGTATCATCTCACATTTAATAATGTGACCTAACGGTAGTATGTATAGTGAAAAGTGGGCCTAGTACAAAACCCTGCAGCGCACCATAAAGGATACTATGTTTTTCTGAGAAATGGATTTGGATCTAACCTGCAGGTTGAGGAACTCAAGAAAATATGAAGCTGTGTCATATATTTATTTAGAAAATATATATTTTTCTAATTATGCGTCATGTACTGCAGTAAAAAAAAATCCACCATCTAAATATTGGGTCAGCAGTGAGCTTTTGGTGGGTCTTTCCATTGATGGATGGAGTAAAGAGTGATAGATAAAAGGAGCAGCAAATGACTGGGACACAGTAGGCGTCTCTGCTGAAAAGCCAACTAAAATGTTTACAGCTTGTGTGAGTTACCCTCCAGTTCTTTATTGCATTGGACAAAAGAGTTCTTATCTAATCCATGATCACATCCACGTGTCAGTCAAGGATAAACCGCTGACACCTCAAGTAAAATTTCTCACAAGTGAAATTTCCCTAATAATAATAATAATAACAACAACAACAACATTTCCATAGAACCTTTCATACATAAAAATGCAGCTCAAAGTGCTTTACAATACACGTCACTGTTGTCGGAACAAAACATTGTATCTCCATTTTTTGTTGTTTTTCAGTTTTTGACATAATTTGAAAATACCTGTTGTTCTTTATATTGTGTGCAAATTTCATAATGAATGGACCAAAAGAAACAACTCAAAATGACTTGGAAAAATGTCTGGTTCCATTGACTTACATTGAAACTAAAGTTGGTTTTTCCTTCTCCTGTAAAGTTATTATTTTGGAGATACGAGGTTTTTTTCTGTCAACAGCGATATTAACAAGGCAGTGTTAACAAAATAGTGAACAGCAAACCATAGTAAAAAAAAACACCTCTGTTCAATAAAAGGTAAAAGGAATAAAGAAAGCAAGAAAGTGGAAAAAAAACAAAAGAAGTAAAATTCAAAACAGCAGAATAAATAAAATGGGATTGTACATTAATACAAAGGAACAAGACAAATAACCAATATAACGTTAAACTAAATAAAAATGTAGGTGCCTGATAAATATGAATATAATAAGTAAAGTTCCAAATCTTTCATGCAAGAAACAGAAAGCTGCTTCCTTCAGGAAACATTTAATAAAGTAATACTTGATCTTAAACTTGATTTGGGACACAGCCCATCAGGCTTTCTGAATGCAATCGGCAACCAGGTCAGTGATACTTAAACAGATAAAATATGTTGTGTCTTATCTGAACATGCAAGTACTCAGGTTACAGCTAGGCCTCTCACAGTCATGACACTGTAGCTGATGATTCATTGCCATATAAATAATTATGATGAACAATGTAGTTGTGTATTTTTGTTCATCTTATGCAACTATTAAAGCAGAAACCTCAAGTAGCCAAATTGGCTGATTGGTTGTCTTGTAACTACCTAGCTATTCATACTTAATAACTCCCAGCTGGCAACAGAAACAGCTCAAGCTCAAATAAATAAACATGACTCGGTACTTTTGGTGTTTACATGAGACCCACGAAGCGTCTTAATGAAAGCATTTTCAGCTTTCTTTAATTTACATACTATGTGCGTCACCCGAACTGGTGAGAAATAACCAGTCCACATTCTGTTGCCACATAAACATATGACTGTGAAAGACAACAACTGTGCAAGAGAATTGTGATAAAATAACTGTGAACAGCTCAAATAACGGCAATCCGACAATTACACTGATCAGACATAACATTATGACCACCTCCTTGTTTCTACACTCATTGTCCATTTTATCAGCTCCACTTACTATATAGGTGCACTTTGTAGTTCTACAGTTACAGACTGTAGTCCATCTGTTTCTCTGCATACTTTGTTAGCCCCCTTTACCCTGTTCTTCAGTGGTCAGGACCCCCATGGACCCTCACAGAGCAGGTACTATTTGGGTGGTGGGTCATTCTCAGCACTGCAGTAACACTGACGTGGTGGTGGTGTGTTAGTGTGTGTTGTGCTGGTATGAGTGGCTCAGACACAGTAGTGCTGCTGGAGTTTTTCAATGTTAAAAAGTAAGACTGCACACACCACAATCTGATTTCAATTAAAATTAAGTATCTTCTACTTACAAACACACATTGCACAAAATCTTAAACAGTTTCAGCAGTAAATGTGTTTTTTGACAGTTAAAAACTCAATAAAACACAAATAATTACAGTAAAAAGTAACAATTTCTTGTTTTTTTTTTAAGCTATAAATATCTTCGTTAGCAGAGCACTGTTAGAAGAACACAGGCTTGGTTCCTGACTTCCCGCTACACCTCAGCCATGGCAGATACTGATTTAATTCAGTGAGGAACTGATCAGATAAACTAGGTATACGACAGTAGCTTTGAGTACTGGACTTTCTCAGAGAGAGCTTTGGAAATGTTTAAGCTAACACTACATAAAATCACAGTGAGTGCATTTACATGCACCTAATAATCTGATAACTGCAGAAAATTAGATTTTGTCAGTAATCTGTTCGACGCATTTACATCATCATTAGCACTTTTATTTATATACCACCTTTCTCATGCTCAAGGATGCTTTGAAGTCAAAGAACATGAACACATTAAAGAAGCACTATACAAACACTCAGATGTTTTCAGATAACAGAAAACTCCAGGTCTACATGAGTCAGGCCATAATCGGATTTCTGCTTTGCAACCGGCCAATGAATTTATAGAAATAGACGTGATGTAAATGCAGCTGAAAAACCATGGTTATGCTAAGGCTCTAAATATCAAGTAATTTTAGCAAAAAGTATGATTATACATCGTTTAGAAGTTTCTTTGAGCGTAGTTGGTTTCAGCGTCGCTCTTAAAGTGTTTTGTTGGTACAGCAGTACAGTACGCAGACTGAGGAAAGCGAAAGAAATCAGAGTAAGGGTATACATGAACTGAAAAATACAATCTAAGAAATCAGAGTATGCTGTTTACATGACTGCTTCAATCATCAGATAACTGCAGAAATCCATATCAATAATCAATGATCCAAATCAATAATCATGATCGGATTATTAATTGCATGTAAACGCACTCAGTGTTTTGTTAATGCTTACTTGTTTGTTAATGCTTTGTTATGCTACACTGTTAGAAATAAAGGTTCTATGCAGGTACATTTTTCATTCATCAAGGTACAGACAGTGTAAATGTTCCCTCAAAGGTACAACAGTGGTTTTAAGGTCCAATTGTGAATCTTAAATAAGGTTTTTCCAGGTGAAAAGTTCGTATTTGTACCTTTTCATAACTGAATGTTTTAAAACAGAACAGTAAAATAAAGGCCTGGAGACGAGACGGGGTGTGTGGAGTCAGTACAGCTTAGAGAATATCATTTCAGTGGATTATGTTACAGTTATGTTCCCTGACTAAAGGTACTGAGATGCACCCCTGAGGGTCCCACCCCAGTTACAAGAGTGGTACGGCCTAGTGACAGTTTAGTACCTTTATTTCTGAGATTGTAATGTTAGTATTTTTGTTTGAACAAATACATGATTAATGACTAGATAAACTGCTTTACATACTATTTTCCCAGAATACTTACATTTACCATATGTACTGTATATGATATCACTTTGAAACACATTTTTAAAAAAAAATTAGCTACAAGAAATTCATCCAAAAGTACAACATGCTTTTCTTATTGCTGCAGAAAAATGTGAGTTAACTGCACCTTCTCAATTCCACAAAAGGCTGGAAGGGCAGGATCTTCAGAGGAGAGAGACTACACAGGGTGTGGAAGAACGGAAAGACTTTCTCTGTGAAGCAGTGCTTGAATGTGTGGATAACGGTGCTGCTAAGAGGGTCTGAGAACTGCACTTCTCCAGTATTCATATCCAGATGAACTCTGACCACCTGGGGTTTTGCAGCCTCACTGAGAGGGACGTATGGCTCTGAAGGAGACCGAGCACACAGCCGCTTATTATCAAACCCAACAGCCCAAACTCCACTGGGGAAAACATTGTGCACTTTTCTATGGACGGACTCTGTGGCCACACCCACCATCCAGAAGGTGTTGTTTCCTACCTCAATGTCCCAGCTGTGCACCCCCACAGAGAAGCCTTCAGAGCCTAACACACACAAACACCTATCAAACCGCTCCGGAATGTCCGGACCCTTCTGGCTGTTCACATTGCTTACATCTTCCTGGTCATCGCTGAAGTTCATACTGGTCAGATCCGCGGACAGGACGAGCTGAGTATGAGCCGTGTGCTCATCCAAAAAAACAGGAGCTGAGGAGTCAAAGACATATTGTTTATAGCAGGGGTGCCCGACGGAAGGCCTGGAGGGTTTAGTTCCACACCTGGCTCTTAATATTCAGATGATTCTGAAGGCCTTGATTAACTGGATCAGGTGTATGTCTAATGCAGATGTCTAGGAGCCATCTTCTGGTGACAGTCTGAAACTCTATGACCCCCTCTTACAATTGGCATGTGATTGGTTCCTAAGTCCTCACGGTTGTAAAAATATGGCGCTTTGAAATCGGATGAATCTTTTTGAATCACCATGTATATTAATATTTAAACCAGTCAACAGTGTCTTCCTCATTTATAATATTTCAGATTCAAATCATAGATCTTGTCACTAACAATCCAGGACATTTCCAAGTAAAACTAATTCCAGCTTAAATAAGGTTTCAGCTAAGCTACACGGTGAAGTTCAACCTGATGTGAAGTAAAAACAGACTTACAGTATTTGATATTGTTCTTCATTTTCTCCCAGACTCTGAACTGCAGGTTTCCCAGGTACTTTGCCTCACTGATCACTTCTTTAGGAGCCACTTCTGGATCCATCTGCGTGCACTGGGCTCTGAAAAGTCAGAATTCAGGGGTGCGGGGTTTGGATTCAGAACTATGAGAGGAAAATGAAACAAAATGAGAAGCTAGAGGAATCCTACTTACTTCCCCAGTGTCTTCTCAAAGTTCTGTTGAAACCAGAAGAGATGTTTAGGATTAACGAAAAATATGCACTGCCACCGTAAAGAGCGAAAGAGAAGGAAATGCTTGAATTCTGACCTTTATGAACTTGCTATCTTCAGATTGTAGTTCCTTTTCAATGTCTGTAGCGGTTTTTGAGAGGGTCTCTTCCTCTTGATTGATTTTTTCAATTCTTTCCTTTTGCCTCTGTATTTTCTCCTTTGCTTCCTCCCGTAGTGTTTTTAGCATGGGTATCATTTCTTTTCCTAGAAACTGATGAAGTTTCGTAAACTCCTCCTTAATCTGTTTCTCTATGTGCTGGACTTGATTCTGATAAGATTAGCACAAATATCAGTCGGTCAGGTGTGCAGAAATTACAAATGCAATATACACCGATCAGGCATAACATTATGACCACCTCCTTGTTTCTACGCTCATTGTCCATTTTATCAGCTCCACTTACTGTATAGGTGCACTTTGTAGCTCTACAGTTACAGACTGTAGTCCATCTGTTTCTCTGCATACTTTGTTAGCCCCCTTTTACCCTGTTCTTCAGTGGTCAGGACCCCCATGAACCCTCAAAGAGCAGGTACTATTTGGGTGGTGGATCATTCTCAGCACTGCAGTAACACTGACGTGGTGGTGGTGTGTTAGTGTGTGTTGCGCTGGTCTGAGTGGATCAGACACAGCAGTGCTGCTGGAGTTTTTAAACACCTCGGTGTCACTGCTGGACTGAGAATAGTCCACCAACTAAAAATATCCAGCCAACAGCTTCCTGTGGGCAGCGTCCTGTGACCACTGATGAAGGTCTAGAGGATGACCAAACTGTGCAGCAGCAGATGAGCTATCGTCTCTGACTTTACATCTACAAGGTGGACCGACAAGGTAGGAGTGTCTAATAGAGTGGGCAGTGAGTCGACACAGTGTTTAAAAACTCCAGCAGCACTGCTGTGTCTGATCCACTCGTACCAGGGCAACGCACACTAACACACCACCACCATGTCAGTGTTACTGCAGTGCTGAGAATGATCCACCACCCAAACAGTACCTGCTCTGTGAGGGTCCATGGGGGTCCTGACCACTGAAGAACAGGGTAAAAGGGGGCTAACAAAGTATGCAGAGAAACAGATGGACTACAGTCTGTAACTGTAGAACTACAAAGTGCACCTATATAGTAAGTGGAGCTGATAAAATGGACAATGAGCGTAGAAACAAGGAGGTGGTCATAATGTTATGCCTGATCGGTGTAAACACAGAGTTTATTAAGCTGGTTTATTAGGTACACCTTCCTAATAGGTCCACTATATACTTGTACAACTAATGACTGTTGCCCATCTGTTGCTGCACAATTCATCATCCCCCTTCTACCATATCCATCAGTGAAAGGGGACCACCACAGATTCACTGCTGACCAGATATTATTTAGGTGGTGGACCATTTTCAGCACAGCAGTGCTGTTTGGTTATTACTTAAACTGGAAATTTGGTGTAAAACACACTTTACTTCTATAGGCTATGTAATTTTCATGTTATTTATATAATCATATCCTGAACAACAGAAAATGCCTTTAATCCTTTCAGACCTGCACTCTACAAGATGGGTAAGGCATGTGTTTTTGACAGTAAAATCATTTAAAGAGAACATGAAACTGGATCCCATTTTGTGAGATGGCAGATTCAATAAATAATTTTCATTAAAATGATTTGAATATGCTGATAGGCGTCATAGCCGGACATATGCCACTCATTCTCACCTTGATGTGGTCAATATTTTGATGGTAGTTAAGCTGGGCATCTTGGAAGTTCTTCGATTTGGCGGTCACAATCTTCAGTTCACTCTCAAGCGTTTTCTATAATCAAGAAACTTTAAATTACAACAGACTTCAAACTTTGATTTAGTAGACACTAATTTGATTCACTGTACTAGGTAAGGAAACACAACAGTGTTCGAGTTACACTCTGGCTTGAGACTTTGGGGTGGCTTTTCAAGATGTACCTGGGGGTTTGGACACCCTACTAAGTCAGTAACACCTTGCAAAGGCTTTTTGTAGCCGTTTAGAAATTTTCAGAATTTTTTTCGTTGTAGGACGCTTCTAGTTCTGTGATATTTTTGGGCCATCTTGCATGTACAGCATGTTTAAGATCTATCCACAGATTTTCAGTTAGGGGTCTCTGCGTTAACTGAAGAAGCTCATGATGGATTCTGAGGTGTTTTAGATCATTGTTCAGCCTCTTCTCAGCTTCAGTTTGTGCCACAGGCTGCCAAACAACCCCAGAGCATAATGGATCCATCTCCAGGCTGAATAGTTGTATGCATAGAGGTAAAATACAGCTTGTTTTTAATTCTGTTTGGCTTGCAATGTCTTACATCAATACAGGTAGCCTGCTCAGTTTTCCTTGCTTTTAAAACCTTGTTGAACACCTGAAAATGGGGACCAAGCTCAATCTGCTACAACAGAGGCATAGGATAGATGCCACTAATTGTACCGACTACATTTCCCATGAGTCTGTCGTGCGCAAGGTGACTGAAAATACAGTTCTCTATGGATTTAGGCATAGTCGTAGTTTACGATGGTGTTTTAGGGCCACTGTTAATAAAAATAAAAATAGACTTTGAGAATAAAGTCGCAATATTTAGGGAAAAAAGTTGTAATATTTCGAAAATTAAGTCATAATATTCTGAGAATAAAGTGGGCTGCTGTACTGTAGGGGGGCTGCTGTACTGTAGGGGGGCTGCCATAACGGGTTGGGGTCTCGGTTGCTGTACTGGCGCCGGAGCTCCACTCACTCCTGTCTCTCTGTGGATCATTTTGATCATCATTCTCACTGTCTGTGAAACTTCATGCCCTCTTTGAATGGGGGGAGATGTAGCCCCCGAGAGCCATGTAGACAACCCTGCCTGAGATTCTCCTTCAACAACACAGACAGACAGTTTCCTCCGAGTCCGTCTGGCTCTTTATTCTAGATAAACTCAGTTTCCTGCTCAGCCGTTTCAGCCGGTTCTTATACTAATAACAGGCTGGTGCTGATGTGCAGGAGAGACAGGGAGACTGAGTGTTTCTTTATGGGTGAATCGATATGAAAGTAGAACTCCACCAACTCACCGCCCCTCATTTAACACGAGGAGGTGCTGCTTCCCTTCGCAAAGCCTTTGTTCACAATATTGCGACCTTTCCTGGTATTAATGCCACTTTAATGTCTAATTCTACCACTTTTTTCTCGAAATAGTAAGACTTTTTTCTCGCAAATATTACGACTTTTATCATGCAAATATTACGACTTTTATCTCGCAAATATTACGACTTTTTTCTCGAAATAATGCGACTTTTTTCTCGAAATAATACGACTTTTTTTGTTGCAACTATTACTTTTTTTGGCAAATATTACGACTTTTTTTCTCGCAAATATTATGACTTTTATCTCGAAATAGTGCGACTTTTTTCTCGAAGTCTACTATTTTCATCTTTATTAACAGTGGCCCTAAAACGCCGTCGTAGTAGTTAAACCGTGATATATATGTATATATTTTATTATTAACAACCAAATCAATCACAGCTCAGTTAAAAAGCCGTAAAGATGCGCTGAGTCTACTTTACCACAGTGACAAAAACAAACGGAAACGCGGGAAAATGTTCAATCGCGCGCGCGCGCGCTTTTACGTGACGTCCACCCTATAGCATTATTAACAAGAGCGGAAACAGGATCATACTATTACAAACGGTTACAAATATCAGTAGATACGACCACCGCCACCTCTCACAGCCCACCTTCAGCTCAGCCGCGATCTCCTCGACAGGACGGAATGTGTGGTGCTGGTGCAAGAGCGAGTCTCGACACACCACACACACAGGCTGAGCCTCGTCCACGCAGTACAGCTTCAGCCTTTCTCCGTGAATATCACACAGCGTTTCTGGGTCTTCCTGGACCTCCTGGAAGGTCTGACTCAGGTTTCTCAGGGCCAGGTTAACGGGAGGGTCCCTAGAGCACGGTTCCCTGCAGAGCGGACACTCCCGGGTGCGTTTAGATCTCCAGTACCGCCGAACACAGCGCCGGCACACGCTGTGACCACAAGAGAGGAGAACCGGCTCCTTAAAAATGTCACAGCACACCGGGCAGGTGAAGTCCTCCTCACTGAAGGCTCGTTTAGAGGCCATTGAATGTCTCGGGTTCAGCCGGCCACCGAGCTAGTTTAATCAACAGGTGTTTGAGGAGAACGAAACTAAATTTGGCGGGATTAGACCCAGAGCGGCTGAACCTGTTTCAAGGGGCGTCAACATGTGGCGGCACACCTCGTTATTAGAACAGAACTCCAGCAGCACTGCTGCCACAAATAGCTTCAGTTCAGTCCTCAGCTAGGAAATCACAGACACTTCATGAGTTGATGTCGAATACATGGTGCTCCTTTGTTACAGCCTACCCCACTACCGGGGAAGGTTGTAACACATGCTGGGGCAAGTTGTCACAGTTAGACAAAAGAGGCAAAAAACAGACCACACCATGCAATATGCTTCAAAAAGAGGTTTACCGAAATAAAATAGGGTCATTCTACAGAAACGTCCACTTTTCTATCTCTCCATAGGAGTCACTGGTGTTACTGATCGTCGTGAGATTTTTTGTCATGCAGTAACACCAGTGACACGACTCCTGGGGAACTTTCATTATATATTTTATAATATTTATTTGGCATTTGTTTTCTTTTTCTCTCTATGACAGAAAACCTGTGATATGTTGTTCTTTGAACAACCTTTTAAATTGGTTCTGTATAGCAACAAAAAGGGTTCTGCTATTGTTCGGCTATACAAGTCATAGAACACTTTTTTTGGTACTAAATAGAACCCTATTTGCTAGGAGTGTAGCTAATTTAGTAGGCTGGCCAATTGTATGACCTAGCAGAGTTAATGGTGTTACCAGTCCTCACTGGTGTTACACATAAGAAAGGAAACACCAGAGACATTTTAATGAAAAATGCATTTTACAAAATGTCTGCTACAGAGCATCAAACCACATGTTGTCAATCATGGAATATCCACTAAAATATGTAATTTAATCCATTTGTATTCTATTTTTTTTCACAATTACCTCAGAATAAAGTCGGTCACACCAGTGACTTCAGCTAAAAGCTTCATATGAAATCATGAGCTAAATGAGAAAATCTCTGATAACTGAAAGACACAGTGGACTCACCATGTGCTTTTCTTCATAGATCCTCAGAAAATAGGTAAAAGGAAGTCAAGTGATGTCATCAGTGTGATTTTATTTCAAAAAAAAGAGATTTTTTGTTATGCGGTAACACCAGTGACACGACTCCTGGGGAACTTTCATTGTATATTTTATGATATTTATTTGGCTTTTGTTTTCTTTATTTCATTTAAATAATATATTTCATAGTCATGTATAGATTATTGCAGTTAAAATTGCAGAAAAACGTGTTTTTTTCTTCAAAATATGGCCTCAGCCTTCACACATGACTGTGAGGACGAGCTCTTCTGTGGTGCTTGGAATTCTAGATAATTGATTTAAAAACCAATATTGCTAAATTGAGGCTCAAGAAGGTGTAATTGTTAAAATAACTTATTGTTTTATTTTAAAATATAAATAAATTGTAACCCTAACATGTTTTTGAAGTGTAATATATCTGTAAACACTAGGGACACAAAAATGGACGTGTCTGTAGAATGACCCAATAACAGCCCCGCACAATGCTTTTCATCCCATGCTTGTGGTTGTTTCGTGTTTATATTACTGCCACTTGATATCCAAATTTTTTGATCTAAAAGAAGGTGGAGCAGAAAACCTACAGTACATAGATAAACAAAGTTTTTCAATTTGTCTAAGAAACAACAGATGAATCTAATATAAGTCATATGGTTTTATCTGTGGTAGTATAAGTACTAAACAAAATACAGTGTTGGTCAAAAAAAAAAAGACTTTTTTAAACCTCAAAATTCATTTTTTTCTCTATAGAATCTGCAGGTTGGGATCAGGGTGGAAGTGGGTAAAACCTGAAATCATCACATGAATCCTATCTAATCCCTGACTGGTGGAATTGGTGGTGTTACACCTCTCCCCATGTTACAACCATACCTGGTCTCCCCTAATGGTAAGCTGTTTATGTACCTTTATTCAGTGCTTATATCGAGCCTTGAACACTCAATGGACCATTGGAATGCACAAATAGTTCTTTGAATGTTTTTCTTTTCTCCATGATGGAAAACCTGTGGTGTATGGTTTTTTGAACAACCTTTTAAAATGGTTCTGTATAGCATCAAAAAGGGCTCTGCTATTGTTTGGCTATACAAGTCATAGAACACTTTTTTGGTACTATATAGAACCCTGTTTGCTAGGAGTGCAGGTAATTTAGCAGGCAGGCCAATTGTATGAGCTAGCAGAGTTAATAAAGGGAAGTTCCAACCATTTTTACAAATTTTAAAATGCTCGATTCTAGAGAAACTTACTGAGTCAGGTCTGTTCATAGCAGTGATAGGAACCAGACATCTGAAGTGTGTTTAATGCCCGGAAAAGCTCCCCCACAGAAAGCTATTACACAAAACAGTTATACATATGCTGCCTGAGATATTGTTTTACAATATATTTCCGAAATAAGGTTAAGGCCTAAAGCATGTTTATGTTAAATCCATTCGGCAGGAGTACAGGACAATGGTACTCCAAGACCTTTTTCAGCATGTGTGCCAACAAAGCAGATGTGTCTTATAAAGCAGTCGGTGAGTATAAAAGTGCTGTACCTGATACACTCACACCAGCACAACACACCCTACCGTCCCACTACTGCTGTGCTAAGAATGCCCCACCATCAAATAACATTTGTTTAGCTGAGGTCCTACTGTGGTTCCTTTATATTGAAAGATGGGGTAGAGGGGGGCTGATGCAGCAACAGGTACAGTCAGTAGCTATTAACCTACAAAGAACATATAGATCATTCTACCGAATTGGTTCAAAGTCAAAGTTCAAAACACATTTCAGATTTCTAACTGACTTAGACTTTGGACTAAAATCTTAGTGCTTTGAATGACCCAAAGCCTTAGTTATGTCTATTTTATTAAAAATAAAACTCCAAACTGCAACTTTAACCATCTATAGCAAATGCTGAATTTAGCTGAGACTAAAGGATTAATTCACATTTATTTTAATGGAAAAACTAATAAAAATTAAGTTAAAGATTGAGTTCAAGCAAAAACATACCTTAAGCGAATAATCTTCAGTGCTGAATTGCTTAAACACTCGTATCTCCAAAATGGTAGGAAAAACCATACTTTACTTTTAATGTAAATCAATGGAACCAGACTTTTTTCCAAGTCATTTTGGTCTATTCATCATGAAATCTACACACAGTGAGTGCGTTTACATGCACTTAATTGTTTGATAACTGCAGAAAATCAGATTTTGTCACTACTCAGATCACACGTTTACATGCACTTGAGTAATCAGATAATGGGAAACTTCAGGTCTACATGAGTCAGACAGTATTCAGATTTCTACTTTGCAACCAGCCCATAAACTCACAGAAGAAGACGTAATGTAAACGTAACGTAAAATCAAATTTGATGCCGCAACTTTTTTTCAAACATCGCCCCACTTTACCTGAAAATATGAACTTACATCATCTAGAAGATGAAGAATATTTAAATCCTTTATTTCGTGTTTGGTTTCAGCACTGCTCCAAAAGTGTTTTGCTGCCATGTCGCGTCATCCACCCTCTGTTCTCGCACCTGCGCAGACTGAGAAATCCGAAAGAAATGAGAGTAAGAGTTCACATGCACTGAGAAATGTGATTACTGAGCTAAAATCCAGCTTCCTTTATCGGATTTCTTAATCGGATTTCTAGATTGGAGTACGGTGTTTAGATGGCAATTTGAATAATTGGATAACGGCAGAAATCCGATTATGATCGGATTATTCAGTGCATGTAAACGCGCTCAATGTAAAGGGCAACAGGCATTTTCAAATTATGTGAAAAACTGAAAAACAACACAAATTGAGATACAAGGTTTTGTTCCGACAGCAGCAACATAAAGACCTGAGGGCCATCACGTTATTTTATAGCATAATAATAAATGTTATCTCACCTTATTGATGCTCAAACACTCAACAAGCAATCACGCTTTTTTCACAGATGTAGTTTGATAATATAAAGAGGAAAATATAAACAAGAAAAAAAGCTAACCGTGAAATGTGTACCTTGAACAAAGGTACTTTGTTTTCTAAAAACATTTGCATTACATATTTTTACACTCGTCGAAATTGATTCTCTTGAGCAAAGCATTCTTTTAACTGCATGTATAGAAGGAATGTATTATTTTACAAGTCACAAATTAATACAAAAATAAAATGTATATATATAGAAGATTTGCCTATATGACATGACAAACCATGACATAAAAATTACTTCTATTGCAGCATCAAAATGACCATATGACTTAGCAGAGAATTACCCTGTTACCACCCTGTGTTTAATATAGCAAAATAGTCTCTCTGTAAATAAGGTGAAGTTTACTGTGGGATCTATACTTCTCTGAAATTCCTGCCATCCTGGACGTAGCCAGCCTACTGTAAGGGGTGGGTCTTTTTTACCCAAAAAGTGGCCCCTGTAAGTGCAGAGTATGCTATGTAGTACAATGACCTGATGCCACTATTACATCATTAACTACAGTAATCTGAGGGGCCTACTTTCTCCCCTAACCTCGTCCAGCACTTTCACCATCTGCAACAGCATTTATATTGCACCTGTTCTAAGAATATCTCAAAATAAACCTGAATATCATTGAAATACTTTCACCGAAATTTAGTTACTCTTATTTAGAATACTCCGATCGCATCTCATTGACTTCTGCAATAAAATGTTTTCAATCGACTGTGTCATTGCAAACAGTTGCCTGCAAAAGTTTGTATGCAAAACACCATCTAATTGCATATTTTGCTGATTTTCAAAGTTAAAATAAGTTCTTCGCAAGGAACAACCTAGAGAAGTTTTAGTGCACAATTTCTATTTACTTGTTGAGTTTAACATATTGGGGACATATAAAATGTGCCATAACTTTTACACTGGCCACATTTTATGTTTTATTTTTTTCCCAATACATAAAATTCAGCAAATAAACAGTAAGTATGCCTAAAATGACCAGGAGCACCTAAACATTTACATACAACTGCATCTTAAAATTAGTGCAAATAAAAACACAGCTAGGTCTGATGTTCTAGAAAGACTGCTTTGTTTACAGGTGTCATCTTGTTCTCGAAACCTTATTGGTTAAGCAGATTTTTATTTCCAGCTTTTACCGAATGAGTTGCTGCATAACTGCAGCATCCAAGTAAGAAATACATTACTTATTGAATTAAAAAGGTTTCTGTGTTAATCTTGATATAAGCAGCTGATATGATTTTATGACTATATTGTACAGATACTGTGTAAGTTACATTGAGTAACTTATGCAACTTTGTTGTCCAGAAGGGATCTTAACCTGATTTTACATTACTTACTTCCTTTTTTTTATCAGCAGGGTGACACGCATGGAGCCATGCACTGAAACAGTTGCATTATATCAGCTTAGCTCTAGGCTAAGTGTTATGCTAGTCAGAAAATCTTCATACATCTAGATGGCCACATGGTCATTCCAAGCACCACTGTCTTTATAACCCCCAGGCTGGACTACTGTAACATTATTTTAGCTGGATACTCCAATACATTACTAAATAATCTCCAGTGGGTCCAGAGTGCAGCTGCTAGAGTCCTTACAAGGACCAAAACGTTTGACCATATATCCCTCAATCCTGTCGTCATTACACTGGCTACCTGTTACATTTCGTGTAGAGTATAAGATCCTTCTCTTAACGTGTAAATCATTAAATGGCCACAACACTGTGTTATATGCTTGTAGCTCCTGCGTTGTGTAGGCTGATGCCGTATATGCAGGGTAAATATAAATGTCTGGTGTGGGAAATAATGCATAATCGGGACTCGAAGATAACTTATCGATTTGGTACAGATCAACACCTCCAGTCAGAATTGACTGCTCATGCACATACATAAATGATTCTGGCATATGTGCTGCCAGGGACTTTTGAAACTATGAATTAAAACAGCATTATGTATGATATTTTTTTTTTTTGTTAAAACAGAAAGAAGTAGAATTGGTAGATTGGTAGAAATGGTGTGCAGGCACTGCTGTGAGAGGCCCTGTAAAGCCTGAAATAGTCTGGCCAGATTTCACAGCCATACCACACCCCTTTATGTATTAACGTCACATGCACAAGCTCAAAAAGAAGGCCTGGCTTGATGTTTAGGACTCTAATACAAAATTAACATTTTGCTGATAAAGATATGATGGCAATAGTAGATAATTCACTTACATCCTCGGAAGACAACGTCCTTCTCCAAGTTTTGACTGAGTACTCTTTGAATACTCTTTCAGTGCTCTTGCAAATATCCGATGCATCCGCTTGTTGAGGTCCAAAGCACAGCTCATGTTGCAAAATGTTCTTGTGCACATTGCATGCAATTACACATTTCCACCAGAGAGGTCTCCAAATCCTTAAAACTTACATAGTACAGCTTTAGCTGCAATAGTAAAAATGAATGTGAAAGTAGCCGCCAGAAGTTACAGAGAAATGTCAGTTCGAGCAAATGAATTTATTGTTCACACAATTTATCATCATCATCATCATCATCAACATCATCATTGATAACATAATTGTAAATTTTCTTTTGTGCAAAGAGTTTTATTGAATGGCTGCTATAAACAGTGGTTTAATTGAATTAAGCAATTGAATTGAGTGAATTGCACTATTTGTCATGCCTTGGCAATGTTAAATTGAAGGACACGTCAATGGTTTTATGGTCCTATATGTAGACATATCTCTCTATGCATCCCCCTGTATTCATAACCTGCTAGCTAGCTAGGCTACCTGCCTTTGACCTAATTTTAAAGAAACAGTTTGGCAAGATGAGCTGAGCTGTTTAAGCAGTACTACAGGGGTAGGTTGCACCAACTGGTCTTAACTATTAAGTCGGTCTTAGCTAAGACCAGTTTTCAGAGCGGACTTTAAACCTGTTGCACCATCCGAAATTACGCCTAGGCCAAGGGTCAGCAACATGCAGCTCTTTTACTGTCCTGTTGTGGCTCCAGAGCAAAATAAGACTTTTAGGTGATAATGAAATAATCCTCCTTTGCAGTGAAATAAAGCTTTGCTGGGAATTCTAACACGCTGTTCTGACTTTGTTTAACATGGTCTTAAACGCTGGAATTCATGTATAACTGCTAATTCACCAACCTTTTATCTTGAAGATTGCTGGTCACATAGAAATGCAGACAACAATCTCATCTATAGTAACTATTAAAATGGCGTAGAAAGATTCAAGACGAATATCATTGAGATTTAAGAGATGAATGAACAGACTCGTTTGTATTTATATGGTTTCCCTATATGTTTAATCTGCAACAAGAAACTATTAACTACCAAAAAGTTGGACGTTGAGAGACAATTTAAGGAAACCATTCTACTTTTGCAGAAAAGTTTCCTGCCGGAGATGCAAGAAAAGCAGCTATAACTGCTAAAACTTAAAGCAGAGCAAAGTGAGTCTGCGTTTTTCGTTTATATATTACATTTTTTAGCCTATACTAGGACATTAGCACATACTGAGACATAATTGCAGCTAAGATGTTAAACTGTTACCCCAATAAAATGGACATAAAATGTTGTGGCTCCCAAGGTGGTTTGATTTCAGTTCATCAGATGAAAACTTGAATATTGATCAAATTATAGGGTCTGCTTTAAGAGCACTTCTCAAACTTTTTGAGCTGCAGCTGTCTAAATATGTATTTTGGGGTTTGTGACCCCCTCCCTCTCAACTCACCTCTGGAAGAAGATAAAATAATCATTTATCTTGGGTGTAACATTAACTTAACTCATAAAGCTTAATGGCATTTTTTCATATATCTGGAGTCTCGAAGTACGTCGCCTTGATATTAGTATCATATTACATAGCCTCCATAATGTGGACTTTTCTGATCGTTCAACACAGTTTTAACAATAAATGGTTTTAAACTCTGGAGTTAATGTAGAACTGCTAATTAACCACCCTTCAACCCTGTAGATTGGCACGCAGACTGCTGGCCACCATAGCAACGACAAAAATCTCGCCTAGCCAGTACCTAACAAAAAGACAAAGAGAAAGATTTAAGATGAATTTGGAGACGAATTGACTTATTTGCATTTATAATCACTCCGGCTGGTTTCCGGATACGTTTAATCTGCAACGAGAAACTGTCAAACACTAAAACATTCAGATTCTCATTCTCCAGCTTCTTGTTCGCATTTTCCCGTTCCATCTTAAACAGGGCAGCAGATACATTCTGGCACCTCAGGCACCATTAAGGTTAAATGGGAAAATTCGAACAGAAAACTGGTGAATGAGAAGCGACTTCAGCCTCGTAAAAAGTAGAACGTTGAGAGATATTTTACAAGAAAGTGTTCTACTTTTGTAGAAAAGTTTGCTGCTGCCGACCTCTGGTCTAGAACATGACTGGTAAGCATAAAAGTTACGCCCAGCAAGTTACAACTGACTTAGCTTAGGCTCGATTGCCCCAGGAGTCACTGGTAAGATCTTCACAGGAGAGTTGCTTTTGCGAGTCCAAAAGAATGGATAGACTTTCTCGGTGAAAGTGTGAAGGATTGACGCTATATCCATGTCATTAAGAAGGTCAAAGAAGGACAGTTCTCCCTTGTCCCAGTCCAGATGCACTCGGATCCTCGGCAGCCCCCCCTCTGCGGAGAAGGGATACTTGGGCTGTGCTGGAGAGCAAACGTTAAACCCCACATTACTCTCCACGCTCCAGACACCGTCGAAGAAAAGCACTCCCTTTCTGAGGTTGGATTCCATGGTTACTCCTACTTCCCACAAACAACTATTCCCAACCTCAACATCCCAGTAGTGGCTCCCTGAGCTAAAGCCCTCTGAGCCCAGGACGCACATGCACTTATCAAACCTTTCGGGATTATCCGGAAGTTGCTGCATCTCTGGTTTCTTATCATCAATGAATGTCATACTAGTCAGGTCATCAGATAGTGTCAGGTTTGGGTGGGCAGTGTTGGGGTCCAGAATGACAGGAGCTGAGGAAAAGGAAAAGAGTGAGCAGATAAGTGCACAGGGGTATAGCCAAGAGGTGCCATCCTTCCATGGAGCGTGGCCACCCCTTTGGCCACCCAAGTACAATAAAGTGAAAATCAGCTATCATCAGTGAAGCAGTCACTACAGAAAAGTCCTGCTACTTTGTGTTCACGGTTTTATGAAAGTCCCTCTTCAGGCAGATACCAATCAAGTATGGTGATACCTAAATCTTACCTTGTTGTGCTCTGTGTGCATTACTGTAACACTACAGTCTACAATGAGTGCGTTTACATGCACTTAATAATCTGATAACTGCAGAAAATCTTAATTTTATCAGTAATCCGATCAACATGTTTACATGCAATTGAATAAACAGATAAAGGAAACTCTGGGTCTATGTGAGTCAGGCAGTAATCAGATTTCTGCGTTTCAACCAGCCAATAAACTCGGAGAGGAAGACGTGACATAAACGTAATGTAAAACTCAAACGTCATGCTGTGTGCCACTTTACCTGAAAATATGAACATACATCATCTTCAAGATGAAGAATATTTAAATCCTTCATTTCGTCAAGCGTGCAGATGGTTTCAATGTCTGTCCAAAAGTGTACTGCCATCTTGCAGCAACACTGCTTGCTTATTTCTGGTATTGCCGTCTGTTTCGAACATGCGCAGACTGAGAAGTCCGAAAGAAATCAGAGTAAGAGTCTACATGCTCTGAGAAGTCAGATTACTGAGCTAAAATCCAGCTCTTTGTATTGGATTTCTTAATTAGATTTCTAGACCTTACTCCGATCTAAGAAATCAGAGTATGCTGTTTATACGACCGCTTGAATAATCAGATAACTGCAGAAATCCGATTATGATCGGATTATTGAGCGCACGTAAACACACACAATGCTTACTGTTTATAGTATTCAGCACAGCATAGAAACAGTACAGGGAACAAAACATACATTATTTTCACATAACATAATAGAAAACAGGATAAAATTCCTTTAAGATTTCCAGTATAAAACTGTATTTTGAAATGGCTAACTGGGTAATAATGCCATTATTTTGTTCGTCTTAATAGAATTACGACCACACTAATAATTTGCCCAGTACACTTCAGCAGTGCTGCTCTGTGATCTACATTACATGAAGGAATCCTATGGTAAGATGAGGTAACTGTCAATAATAAGTAACATTTACTATCATATAGTAACGTTTATCATTTATCATGCAAGCTAAATTCTTTTTACATGCTTGTGTTTAATTATGCAGGCTAGATTTCATCAGAGGTGACTCCAGTGCTGAGTACAAGATCCTGCTAATGCTGCAGTAGATTAGCCTGTTACTCTGCCCAATATTATTCTCTTATAATTGTTATCGCACATAATGTTGCCGTTTTTTTTTTTACCTAGTTTGCCACAACAAAAAATCAGTGGGTTCAACCTGTCCACACCATTAAAAAAGGTTCTGGCTACAGCACTGGTAGTGCATGGAATCAGTACTGTTCACTGACTTAAGGCCTTGCTATGCCTTGCTTACAAGCAAGGCCTAGCTGGCTGCGATGAGCCTACCAGCTAAAAGCCGGCAGACAGTGTCTCATGGCAAACAAGTGATGGCCCATTTCTGGCCCACTCTTAATGTTGAGATGTTAAATTACTATTTAGTGTTCAATGTACACATATTTTAAGTCAGCCATGGATCATTTTGAACCAAACTTGAATTAAATTGCACACTAGGATATTTAATAGTGTTCCTAGTATTGAGGCAGAGTGTGCTGGACTACCATCAGGCTTAGCGCTGATGCACAAAATCCTTCTTTTTTGGTTTTACTAGATCTCAGTGCAGCTTTTGATACTGTTGACCACAAGATTTTAATCCAGCATCTGAATGTCTTGAATGCTGGGTTGGCCTCTTGGGCACAGTTTTAGGATGGTTGAAATCATATTTAAGTAATAGGCAGTTCATGGTTTTACTTGGAAATCATTCATCAAAAAGATTAGCCATTTCTTGTGGAGTACCTCAAGGTTCAGTCTTAGGGCCTTTGCTTTTCTCTTTGTACATGCTACCTCTAGGTGATGTCATTAGGAAGCATAGTATAAATTTTCATAGCTATGCTGACGACACCCAGGTATACATTTCTGTTGTGAGTGGATGTCGCAAAATTTCTACAATTAAATCATGAAAAAACTGAAATACTAATCGTTGGTACAGAAACTCAGAGAAAAATGATTTATGAGAAACTTGGTTCTTTAGCTTCATATACCAAACCTGAAGTACGAAACCTGGGTGTGATCTTAGACTCTGAGCTCTGTTTTATCCCACATCTAAACACAGTCATTAAAGTGGCTTTTTATCATTTGAGGAATATCACTGAAGTTCGGCCTTTTCTCTCTCAGAGCGGTGCAGAGAAACTTGTTCATGCATTTGTTACAAGCAGAGTTGATCACTGTAATGATCTTCTTACTGAACTTCCCCAGAAAACAATACATCCTCTACAACTCGTACAAAATGCAGCAGCATCCTAACAAAAACAACACAGAGAGATCGGATCACTCCCATTTTAAAAGAACTGCACTGGCTAATTGTATCATTCTAGATAGATTTTAAAGTTCTGCTACTAGTTTTTAAGGCTCTAAATGACCTTAAAGCACCGCTTACATCACAGAGTGTTGTAAGAGATCTGTTTGTTCCAGCACAAGATCTGCAGATAGTGGCCTTCTACAAATACCCTCTGTAGAATACAGAAAACATGGAGAGACTCGTTCAGTTATTCTGCTTCTAAACTGTAGAGCTCAATTCCACCTTTTATTAGACAGTCAAGCTCAGTGCTCACTTTTAAGAAGCATATAAAACGCATATCTTTAACTCAGCATTTAATAAAAATCTACGTCTCGTGGTTTTTATCTTCTAATTTGATCTCTTTCATTTTCTTCTGATTCTAAATAAACACTAATGATTTCTTCTATAATTATGTTTTATCACCTGTCTGTAAAGCACTTTGAGCTGCCACCAGTATGAAAAGTGCTATATAAATAAAAATTATTATTATTATTACCTAATTTTTTAGACCAACATGCTGTCATATCTCTGCCAGAAGTGGCCTAGACATGTGGGCCAAATAAGCATGTCCCAGTGTGGGCCACTTCTCACTCACATGCATTTAGCTTGTGGTGACAGGCCAACGGTGCCATGTGTTTGCCAGAGGTAGCCCACATCCACATGGATGTCAAGCACCCTGAAAAGATCATTGTGAGGGTGGCATTTCCTCACCCAGCTCCTAAAAGGCACAGCCGAGTGGGTCACCCTTTATCACCCTTCCTTTCCTTCCTTCTCCACAGCTACATTTGAGGTAAGATGAAAATTGTTAAAGTCTGATTTGAAAATGTCAGTGATCTTAAAATTTCAGAAACTCACTGTACTGAACAATCTCCCGCATCTTCTCCCACACTTTGAACTTCAGGTTGCCCAGGTGCTTCGCTACATCTATCAGCATTCCTGAGTCCATCTCTGGAATCTTCAGTGAGCACTCAGCTCTAGAAGAACATTCAGGAGTCAGCTGTTCTGCAGGTTTCAGTTCAGAAACACGAACAGAGAGGTAGAAAACAGCTCACTTACCTTTTCATTGAGGACTTGACGTTCTGTGGGAAGAAGAATTGACATTAAAAACACAGTATGTTAGATTATGTGTTCTCCAGCGTTTATTGCACTTCATTTTGCTATGGATTCTGATTGGAGAGCTGGGCCAGGAGCTGTCCCAGGGTGTGTGTATATATATATATATATATATATATATATATATATATATGTATATATATATGTATATATATATAGCTACTGTCAGAACAAAACTTGATAACTTTACAGGAGAAGGAAAAAACCTGCTTTATTTTAATGTAAGTCAATGGAAACAGAATTTTTTCCCAAGTCATTTTGGGCCAGCAGGCATTTTCAAATTCTGACAAAAACTGAAAAATGGAGATACAAGGTTTTGTTCCGACAGCAGCGATACATAGAGAGAGCTTTGCTTATGTATGGCATGGCTGTGGCCAAGAACGGCTGAAAAATAAAGCAGTGTGAAAGGAGTGTCTCTTTTAATAGCTGTGAGTGCTTCAACATCTATTATAAGTGTTCACTAGGGGATTATTGATTGCAACCATTCATACTTAGTGCTGAATGCAGCACACAAGTGGGGACAATAGATTCAAAGTATAGAGTGAAAAAATCATGGGGTAAAAAAACATTAGGCCATACATCTAAAAGATGGGAACTACAGTGCTAGTTTCCCATTCGGTTACCGTGTTATACTCTAATTTTGATATTTTAGTGTATCAGACCAAGCATAATGGTACAAGCTTATTTTAAGACATCAAAAATGAATTCATATGTAGTGCCGCACCAGAAAGAAACAGAATTTTTACATGGAAGTAAAGAGAAACACTCTTTTTTTTTAAAGGAGCAAAGTGAAATTGATATTGTGGTCATCATGTAAAACTGATCCTATTTAAATAGTACTTAAGAAAGGACAAGAATTTATTCATACTAAATTCATTTTTTTCACTCACAAAGAACAAATGATGTTTTGGGTTACCTGCCTTGCATATCCCAATTTGGCTGAGATGTAAGTAAGCTACTTTATCTGCAACAGAACTGAGACTTGGTGACAAGAAACTTGTAAAAATTGAGAAAATAGCATCAAGAAGGCTAGAATTTCTCTCTTGCATACTAAAAATAATTCAGAACTAATTGTAATGTTTTAATAAGCTTATGCAATATAGCGGTTATTTGCAAATGCTGTTATTGACCTTTTTCTGTGGAAATAAACGTGGAGTCAGTGTTGCAATATAAATGTACCCTTAAGGGTACAGCAGTAGTTTTAGGGTTCAGCTGTGTACCTTAACGGTGAAAAGTACATATTTGTACCTTTTCATATCCTAATGTTTTAAAACAGAACAGTAAAATAAAAAGCCTGGAGACGAGACGGGGTTTGTGGAGTCAGTACAACTCAGAAAATATAATTTCAATGGATTATGGTTCAGTTATGTTCCCTGACTAAAGGTACTGAGGTGTATCCCTGAGAGAACCACTGCGGTGACAAGTGGGGTCCTGCCCCAGTTACAGTTTCATATCTTTTTTTCTGAAAGTGTAGTTGGGTGTGACTGTGGTCCAAGCAAGTGGTCATATGTGCTACAAATACTAGACTGGTGGTTTCACCTATTTTAGGGCACCAAACCTAGTGTAAGTGAAAAAAAATGACCGTACGATATGCACAATTGAACAAAACAAAGAGACCACTGAATGGACAAAGCCATTCTAATGTTGACAAGCATTACCTCAAAAAGCACCTGAAAACCTCAGAACATGTTGATTACATTGACTTTTTGGACTTTTTGCTTGTAACTAAACCCTTGACACTCTGGGAATGAACACAAATGTATATGTTCACCATGTTTGAATGGTGAACAGTGTTAAAATGTTCCTTGCAGCTAAAGCTACATTCACATTACAAGCCTCATTGCTCAAATCTGATCTCTCTGACAAGACGGTTCACACTCCTTTAGGCAAGTGACTCAAATCCGTCATTAATGTGAACGAAGCGGCGTCCTGAAGTGACCCGCATGCGCACGTCCTACTCAGTAATGTCATGTGAATGAATCACGTGCATCATCAGCACAAACTAGCGAGCAGAACGAGCTTCGCTGAGAAGATCATTAACTCTGATCAGCTCTCAGCTTCATTATTAGAGCGAGACGAAGGAGAAAAAGGTGAGATGAGCTGCTTTTCCACCGTTTACAGGCTCTGTTTGGCGCTGCTGCCATGGTAACGCTGAATGATGATACGTGCAGTGGAAAAAAGTACATGAATTCAGATCTGAGGGTCACATTAAAGTTGCATGGCCAAAAAGTGCTCTGGTCAGATTTGAAAAGATCAGATTTGTGACCACACAGCCCTGAAAACATCAGATCTGAGTCACTTTAGGCCAAAAAATCGGATTTGTGCCACTTCAACCTGGTAATGTGAACGTAGGCTTATTGGCCCTCAAAACTTTGGTAAAGAACTGCAGAAGAGCTTAGGGAGCATTTACCTGTAGAAATACCATGTCCTCTTCTGCTAGATTCTCTTCAGTGGTGTTGATAGTCTCTAAAAGAAGAGTTATCGCACTGCTTGTCTCATCAGTCTTCTCTTTCATCATTTGACTCTTCTGCTCCTCTTCCTCCGTCAGTGCAGCCAACCTGGCTGCCTCTTCATCTCGTAAAAACTGGTGAAGCGTCTCAAACTCCTGCCTTATTTCTTTCTCTGTTTTCTGAGCCTGCATCTGAGATAAAAGAAGTGGTAGCAGAAACACAGCTTATACAATCTCAGGCATTGCCAGTCTGCTAGAGGAGTATACAACCTCCCAGCATTAAACAACGGAGCAGTGGAACTGTGTTTTCTAGGATGATGGAGCTCTACCCAATACCTCAGGGATAAGCTGGAGTGGAGTTTGTGATCCACAACTGATCATCCAATTATCAGTTCCTGACCTTACTACTACTACTCCTGTGACTGAATGCAATGTCACAGAGATGTTCCAACATCTAGTGTAAAGCCTTCCTAGAAGAGTAGAAGCTGTTATTTCAGCAAAACGGGGTAAATTCACTATTAATATCCTTAACTTCAGAAGAAACATTGGATGAGCAGGTGTCTACAAACTTTTGGACATGTAGTGTAGACTTACTTGGTTTCTGACACTGTATGACAATTTCAGGGACAGTCTGCGCTAGTCCCTTGGACAGGGCAAAGTTAGGCAGCCTCTGAGGGCCCCTTATGAGCCAAGGGCCCCATAAAAATACTAATTAGATATACTGTATGTTTTGAGGTTGCGCTTTTGCCTCACAGCAAAAAGGGCCTGGGTTCAATTCCCTGGCCAGGCGACCAGGGTCTGTGTGGAATTTGCATGTTCTCCCTGTGTCTGCATGGGTTTCCTTCAGGTGCTCCGCCCTGTGATGGACTGGCGACCTGAGGCTATTCGGAATACAATTTCTATCCGATTGAACGAGGTGGGAAATCCTGTAAATAATCTGTTAAATAGAAGAATAATAACCATTGCAGAGTGCAGTGCAGAAACTGGTCTGCAGAGGAGACGAAGTTTATGCTCTGATCTTTAAAAGACGGCGTCCAGCTTTAGTGTCTCAGAACACGACGTCTTCCTCTCGGCCTTCTTTAATAAGGACATGTGAAGGACGTTTTCCTGAGTCTGACATCATTTTAAAGCAATTAAAAACACAAGCACTGCTCACTGCTGCTCATCTCACTCTGACTGCACTCACGTGATGCTGTTTGTCATGGTAACATCTACACCAAGTTCTCTGTTCATTTTGCTGCTGTTGTGTTATTGTTTGCTATCCAGTGTCAACCAAGGAGGTTGGGTTCCCCTTTAGAGGCCTGGTTCCTCTCAAAGTTTGTTGCTCCTGCTCTCAGGGAGTTTTTTCCTTGCCACTGTTGCCATTGGCGACACTCACTGGTACTTAGACAAAAAAATTGCGCTTTATAAATAAACTCGACTACATTTGATTCTGAACTACTGCTTTAATAACAAAAGTGATTATGGAACTTCTCTCTAGCAGATCCCTCTGTGCTGAAACGCCATGTCCTGCTGTAGAGCCACCTATCATCTTTATATATTTCGCATGGAATTTACTGTTGTGTCAGCTAATAACACACATCTCACGAGAAAGTAGTCGAAACTATGTGATAACTTATGCAGGTGTTCAGAATGGAGAGTACAGCCTCTAGCAAGAGTCTATCTACACACATCCTACAGCCGCACACTGTCACGATCAAATTTTTGTGGTTTCTCATTTCATGAACCACTAGTGACTGATCCATTTCCTGTCGCAAGGCTAAAAAGTTTTGATGTTTTTCTTTAAGAGCTTAGACGTTTTACACTTGTCAGAACAACTACAGCTTCATTTCATTTTCCACATTCTGCATGTATGTAACTTTACATTAGGCTATGTATGTATTTTCCAGCCACTTTTAAAGAGTTCCTCTTCTCACCTTGATGTGTTTTGTGGTTTTGTGGCAGGTCTCGTTCACTTGTGTGAAACTGCACAGCTTTTCCTGTAAGGGCTCCAGAGCAGTTTCGAGTTCTCTCTGGTAAAGGTTAATAATTCATCTTGTCAGTGGGTGAAAAGCATCACAACTTGCACAGCAGCAAAGATTAATGTTATATGTTTCATATGCTTTGCACTGTAGTAACTAGTTCATTTACTCAGTTACATGAGCTTAAAGGGGAATTCCACCAACCTCTGCATAATTTAATAGTTAAGATGTAAACTCAAGTCATTCAGAGTGGTTTGGTGTGAAATTCTCTGTTCTAGAGAAACTTACTGAGTCAGAATTGTTCACAGTGGTGGTGATAGGAACCAGATGTCGACCTCTAAAAGCTCCCTCACAGAAAGGTATTACATAAAATGGTTGAACACACCACCTGTTGCCTGAGACATTGTTTTACAGTACATACTTAAAAATGATGTTTCTTCAAGGGTTCTTTAGTAAAGAAAATGGTTCTATATAGAACCATATACACTCAAATAACCCTTTGCATGATTAAATGGCTCTTTGCATCATGAAAGCATTCTTCAGGTTAATGGAGAACATTTTTGAAAAGGGTTCTATATAGTACCCAAAATGCTCTTCTATTGTTACAATGTCAAGGTTGTAACAATAGAAGAACCCTTTTTGGTGCTACATAGAACCCTTAACAAAAAGGTTCTATACAGAACCATCTACAGCACCATCAGTCTGAAGAACCATTTCACCATGCAAAGAACCCTTAAATCATACCATTTTCTTTACCCTTGAAGAACCATCTTTTTAAGAACATAGTTTTGAGAAAGTCATATTTTTAAATTATTTAAATTCATGGCATTGAGGTACATCCAGAAAAGGTCCCTATAGAAATACAGTTTTTTCAGATTTACCACTGTTTTACCATTATCAACTATCATTATCAAAAAAAGCGTATGTGTTGTAGACATTGTGACCCCTGGTTCCCACCATCAAAACTGTAAAGAAAACCAAGTCGGTAAGTTTCTCTACAATAAACCATTTTATATCAAACCACTTTGAATGTCGTTTCATCTCATCCAATAAATTATGCAGATTTTTGAGAAAAAGTGGTGGAATTCAACTTTGGTAGGTTTCCTGTACAGAAGTCTGGAGAGGCCATGAGCTGTTATGATCATTTTCTGGATTTTATCTTGAGAAAACAACTTTGTTATCTTGAGATCAAAAGATAGTTAACTCAATATCTTAATATAACAACATTGTTATCTTGAGATCACAAGATAATTAACTCATTAGATGCAGATAACAACTTTGAGATAGTTTTATCAGGAGATAACAACGTTGTTATCTTGAAATCACAAGATAATTAACCCATTATCTCAAAAAACAACTTTATTATCTTGATATTGCAAGATAATTAACTCGTTATCTTAAGATAACAACTTTGTGATTTTGAGATCAAAAGATAGTTAACTTGTTATCTTAAAATAACAACTTTGTTATCTTGAGACCACAAGATAATTAGCTCATTATCTCAAGATAACAACCTTGTTATTGTTACATCAAAAGACAGTTAACTCATCAAGATAACAACATTATCTTGAGATCACAAGATAATTAACTCATTATCTTAAAATAACTTTTTTATCTTGAGGTTGCAAGACAGTTAACTCGTTATCTTAAGACAACAACTTTTTATCTTGAGATCACAAGATAATTGACTTGTTATCTCAAGATAACAACTTTGTTATCTTGAGATAACAATCCAGAAAATTATAACTACCTCATGCCTGTCTGGACTTCTGTATTCCTGGGTATTTTCAAATGACAATACTAATAATTCAGAATACTCAGGGAAGGACAAATCCATCAAAATACTACCGTTTCCATGTTTACGTGTACTTAAGTAGGTCTGTACTTGTCTATGTTTGACTCAGTTCCGCTGTAGCCATACATTGGACTGTTCTTCTTCTCTTTTTTTTAATTCCATGCTGTTCTGTTCATTCAGCTCACATTTTTAATCAAAAGTTTAAGTCTCTCCACAAGGAGCTCAGTACTTAAGCAGCATTTAAACCTGCTACATTTGGTTTTACTCCTTTATACTCTGTCCACCTCTGTGCATCCATAATATACATTCAGCATCACTCTCACCTTGAATCTGTCTGCGGTCTCACGTATGGGCCGACAGTCATGATCCTTGTGCTCTTCTGATGCTTGACAAAGCACACATACAAGCTGCTCATCCTCCAGGCAGTAGAGTGTGAGTCGCTCATTGTGTTGAGAGCATCGCTGTATAAAAGACTCGCAGAAGTTCTTCCGCACCAGGTTAGGAGGTGGATCATCCCTTGAAGACCTGCTTCTACACAGTGGACACTCCTGAGATTCACTTTTGGCCCAGAAGTTCTGCAGACAGGCTTTACAGACACTGTGGCTACATGAGAGGACGACAGGGTCTCTGAAGATGTCGTAGCACACAGGACAGGAGAGGTCACCTCTGTGCCATACAGTTGTCATTTCTTCCTTTTGGTTCAAGTCACCAATTAAGAATGAACCACTTTCTATATGAAAAGAAAAAAAGAATCACTGAAAAAAAAGGAGTTTGTTCCCTCAGTGACCTGAGCATTCACAGGCTGTCAGAACGATCAGCAGCAAAACTGATGTTTGACCATACGGTATGTAGGGCAGGGCTCTCCACTTCCTCTTTCACCTTCAGAAACCAAGAGAGCTAGAAAGATGTAGATCGAGCACGAATAGGCATGACAAATGCGTGAGCTGACACATCCTCTACAGGAAAAAAAAACTTAGTCATGCTCATAAATATTTGGACATTGACTTATTGTTTAGTTGTCCACCACAGTATATTGGAGTGTGTTATTCCCTCATTATGTCACTTACAAGTAAGCAGATAAAAGGTCTAGAGCTGGTTTTAAGTGTGGCATTTGCATATGGTTGCTGTCCAAAGAAAAACAAGTATCTCCAAAATAGTAACTTTACAGGAGAGGGCAAAAACACTCTTACCTTTCAATGTAAGTTAATGTAAAGAGGTTTTATTCCAAGTGATTTTAGCGCATTTCTATTGGTCCATGCATCATGAAATTTTTACACAATGTAAAGGACAGCTAGTGTGTTGAAATGATGTAGAAAATTAAAAATCAACAAAAATACGGTTACATGGTTTTCTTTGGACAGCGACGATGTGCAGTCTCTTGCTGTTAATGCTCAATATGAAGTCCAAATAACTGTCACTGGCAGTGAAACTAGCCATCATTAGGCTGAAAAACCAAAACAACCCCTTAAGAGAGATGTGTGGCCAAATCAAACAATTTGGTACATTCCTTTGACAAAAAACACATAAAAAAACTGTCTGGAAGAAAACCTTATGAACAAATGAGACAAAGATCAACTCGTATCCCAGAATGATGGGAAGAAAAGCATATGGAGAAGGGAAGGAAATGCTTATGACCCAAAGCATATCACCTCATCTGTTAAGCATGGTGGAGGTAGTGTCATGGCGTGGGCATGTATGTCTGCCAGTGGAACTGGTTCCCTTGTATTCATTGATGATGTGAATGTTGACAAACACAGCAGGGAATTCTGAAGTGTTTTAAGGATATAGTGTTTGCTTAGATTCAGCCAAACTCTTTAAAACTCACTGGATGCTGTTTCACAATGACCATATGCGAACTTTTTTAAGGCAAAGTATTGGAATGTTCTGCGGTGGCCAAATGGACAGTCAGCTGACCTCATTCGAATTGAGCATGCATTTCACTTACTAAAGGCAGAAGTGAAGATAACGCCACACAAGAACAAGCAACCAGAACCAGAAGTAGGAAATGAAGACTTCTGGAGTGCCTGGCAGAGCATCACCAGGGAAGAAATCAAATTTTGTTCAACTATTTTTGAGCCCCTGAAAATGGGGGTTTATGTATAAAAATAGTTGTAATTCCTACAGTGTTCACCTGATTTGGATGTAAATAATCTTGAATTATATTGAAATGAAAGTCTGAGCTCATATCATTATTTAATTTCAACTCCAATATGCTACACCGAACAGACATAACATTATGACCACCTCCTCGTTTCTACGCTCATTGTCCATTTTATCAGCTCCACTTACTATATAGGTGCACTTTGTAGTTCTACAGTTACAGACTGTAGTCCATCTGTTTCTCTGCATACTTTGTTAGCCCCCTTTTACCCTGTTCTTCAGTGAACAGGACCCCCACAGAGCAGAAATTATTTGGGTGGTGGATCATTCTCACCACTGCAGTGACACTGACATGATGGTGGAGTGTTAGTGTGTGTTATGCTGGTATGAGTGGATCAGACACAGCATATATAGACAAAAAATATAGAGAAATGTAAGTAGATAACAGATCAATATTACCCAGAATTAGTTTTTACCACAAACAGTACAAAACTCCAACAACTATGTACAAAATTTATTTGAGGGTGACAATAATTCTTGACTAGAAATTCAGTTTGGATCTGTATAATCTGAGCATTACAACACACAGTAAACAAAACCTCATTCAGTTCTCAACAACAGTCCTCAATAAGAGCTCAAAGAGAGTTCAGTACACTATATTTACCAAAATATCACTGAATATATTTCACTGCAGGTTGGCTTTGCATCTTGCAGTATAACTGAGGGGTTGCTTTGGTGACATTTAGACATAGAAATCAATGTTATATTTTATAATCATTTTTTATTTTACAACATTTTATCCTCAAAGTATAAAACCAGAACTAAGACTTGAACTTCATATGCACTGAAAAGATGACTTTTAGCAAACTGAACAATAACAAATGCTGAAATTGTGTTCCCTTCTTTCATTGGTGGAGCGACGTATATAAAAGTCACACAGCTTCACAAATAATACTCTTTAAACGCTATATACAGAATAACCTGAACCTCAAGTTCAAAATAGAGCCAGTGTACAAATGATTCAGCAACTCAAAAAATGTCGCAATATTGCACATATTTATATCTATTCATATACCACTCCTGCAATCTGAAATGATCAGCAGGCAAATTGTTGGAGAAATACACGCTGGAGTTAAAGATATTGCGGTCGAGGTCTTTTTGAAGCGCGTGAGGCCGATGACAGATCTCACGCTTCACTGTTCTTATTCTGACAGCACAAACCAACAAATCAAATATGCACAGTTAACCCCTTAAACATAGTCCATCAGCAAAGACATGTTCGGCTGTTTGGTTGGACAGATGCTACTATTATTTTTTGCTTTACATCAAACTTTTGTCCATTTTAATAGATAAAAGTCTCAGACTGCATCAGAAACCTTGCATGCAAGTCTATTTGAAGCTTTGGGTTCACTACACGACTTTTAAAGTCTGAACAGATTATGAAATACTGGGCGTCTCACACTGTCCGACTGGTTTTTGCAGATATTTTGGGGCTACTGAAATATTGGGGATCACACACTAAAGGATTATGGATCACACACTACTTAGCTTTTTAGCAGCTGCTGAACTGAACGGAGCTCACTGAAACTCTTGCGAACTCACGCATTCTCCTGTTACTAGGAGACGCAAATAAACAAATATGGAACGGCTGCTGCCGTTTGCGCTGACGCAGTAAAGAAGCAGCAGGTAAACGTGTTTAAATGTGGATCTTGGACTTAAAATGTGATCAGTTTGGTATTTTTAAACATTTTTAAACTCGTGCTCGTGCCTTAAACTCAGCTCATTAAAAAGCTTCGCTCCAACGTGAGAGACTTTTCTCCATTTTTCTTTGTTTACTTGCTGTATTTTCTTCTTTCGCGCTCTCTCATTGGCTGTTGCAGGAATCCGTTCAGATTGAGTCGTTAACCAGCTTACACTAGATTTCGCTCAGAGTCGGCTTAAAAAAAGCAAACATGTTCGATAAACTCTGACTGGTCTAAAACGTGATCAGGAGGAAAGAAATCTGAGTGAGCGCCCCTCACACACGACTCGATTCTCTCTCCAACTGTTGACTCAGACAGACCCAAAAATCTGCAGACTAGAGCCAACCAGAACCGTCTCGGCCAGACTGAGAATCGGGGCTAAAATCGGGGTAAAAGTCATGTAGTGTAACCCCAGCTTTAGATTAATATTTGAGCTTGAGGCAAGTGTTGAATGATTTAGGAATACAGTTGGCAATTTCCTATTTTCTGAGGATCTATGAAGAAAAGCACATGGTGAGTCCACTGTGTCTTTTCAGTTATCAGAGATTTTCTCATTTAGCTCATGATTTCATATGAAGCTTTTAGCTGAAGTCACTGGTGTGACCGACTTTATTCTTAGTAGGACACAAATGGATTAAATTACATATTTTAGTGGATACTCCATGACTGATGACATATGGTTTGATGCTCTGTAGCAGCCAATTTGTAAAATACATTTTTCATGATGTCACTGATGTTGAACACTGTCTCTGGTGTTACCTTTCTTATGTGTAACACCAATGACGATCAGTAACACGAGTGACTCCTATGGATAAAAAATAGTGGACGTTTCTGTAGAATGACCTGTAGAATTTAAGACCAATGTATGTAAATGAGTTCTGTTCTGATTGGCTACCATTTATTGTGCTTAATCTAAAAAGCAGTCCAGACTGAAACACTCCTTATAACTTCAGTGTAAATGGGCAGGGCTAAAGTGAGTAGGCCAAATAGGCAGATATGTCGAAATGTAAACGTTTTGTTTTTTTTGTGACATCACAAAAGCAATAAACAATGCATTTCAAAACGGGCTGTTTCGAAACTTTAACAATACAGTGTATCCAATGCGTTTTTCATGTGTCCCTGGTCATGTGGGGTCCCAGGCGGCTACCTGCCTTTGCCTAGTGCAAAGACCGCCTCTGCTTGTAGCTCCAGAGCAAAACTTTGGAAGCAACACCAATCATGTCTTTGCTGTAAGGGGAAATCTGTGCGAGTCTGTATGTGGGCCTGCTGTTTTAATTGTTGTTGATTCTTGCATTTAGAATGTTGGTATGGAAGTGTATGGGAGTACATAGGCGCTCTATTTGCAGGGGAAGGCACTGGAAGAGGTTTTGGGCATTTTAGTTGCAAAATATTTTGTAGATGAGCTTTTGAACGACTCATCTATGTCAGGGGTAGGTAAAGCTCATAGGAATTAACAGCAGTTTTATAGTTCTTTAAAGGGGAATTCATCATTTCTGCATAATTAAAGATGTAAACAAAGTCATTCAGCATGATTTGATATGAAGTCTTGTGAGTCTGAAGCATATAATGCCTCTAAAATTGAGCTCCCAGAGTTTTTACATGGAATGGTTGTGAATACGCCGCCTGACGTCTGGTTTACGATTTTACGAGTTTTACGAGTTTTTTTGGCCTAAAACACATTCAGAAAGTACATGGAAGGCAGGACAGTGCCCAAAGAAAACATATTTTTCCAAAAGTAACACTATTTTACCATTAACATTATTACAAAATGATATACGATGAATGATGATGTAGATTCACTGTCTTTTTGGATTAATAAAATGGCTATATTTGTGTTGCAGACATCGTGACCCTTGGTTCCCATTACCACCACTGTAGCTCAGATTCTCTACAATGAGCTTTTATGTGTCAAACCTCTCTGAATGACTTAACATCTCACGATTGATTTACGCAGAAATTCTGAAACAATTCCACTTATCCTCTTTTCCCAGCAGCACTGGATTTACATTGGCCAGCTTTGGTACATATGATGATTGTCTTTGGCGAATGTGACGCAAAAGGGTCCGGATCCTTCTCTCTTAGATCCGCCTGATAATGCAGTCCTGCTGAAGTGGAGAGATTTGACGAAGGCGCCTCAGCCTGCCTTAGATAAAGTTTCGCGTGAATGGCACTGTGGTCCAGCTCACAGATCCCAGTGCATTGTGGGAGTTGTAGTTTGCTCAGAGGGTCAAAAGGCTCATTCAGGTCTCTTTATCGAAACCCTCCAACAAAGCTCCCCAGCACTGCCTTCATTGGTCTGTCATTAGCGTTCATTCTCCTCTCTCGCTCTCACGCCTCTGTGGATTTCTCGGCCGTGAGCTGCTCCCGGTCTGAAACATCGTCGTCTTTGGGAGGCCGTGCTCGATCGAAGAACCCGCACTGAGGGAGAGAAGGAATGAATGATAAACCATATGAAGATGAGAGAGGGATTAGATCTCGGTGTGTAGCTCATTTTTTCTCTCAAACACTCTTAAACACTTCCACAGATGTGCTCCTGCGGTAACAGTAAGCTCAGTGTTTGTAGAGATTCTTCCTTTTTGATTGACAGCCTTAACTCCCAACATGATTACTGAATGATTCACATCAAAAGCGTACAGGTTATTGAAGGCTGTAAAGCTGGATTTAGTTTTGATTTAATGAAAGTAATTCATGACTAAACTTACTAAATCACAGGAACTGGATCCTAACACGTGGCCACAACTTAAGGTGCAGGAACGAGATAATTAGGCAGTAAAACTGAGTTATTAAGGCATGGGATTGACATGGCCATGGCTTATTTTGTTCCCACGCCTCTCATTTCCACATCTTAGTGTTGTGGCCACAAATTAATTATCTCATTCCCATGCCCTAGTACAATTATATTGTTCCCTATCTTACTACATTGTGGCCACAAGTTAATAAATGTGTTCCCCAAGCTTTACTAAGTTGTTTCCACTATTTGATTATCTCATTCCCATGCCTTAGTACATTGTGACTATAACAGGTCCCTGTCTTACTACATTGTGGCCATAAGTTAATTATCTTGTTCCCCATGCTTTACTAAATTGTGGCTACTATTTAGTTATCTCATTCTCATGCAATACTAAGACATGGCAATGACTTATCTTGTTCCAATGCTTTATTAAGTTGTGGCCACTATTTAATTATCTCATTCTCATGCAATACTAAGCCATGGCCATGACTTACCTTGTTCCCATGCTTTACTAAATCATGGGCAATGACTTAATTTTCATGACTTAATCATCTTGTTTCCACACCTTACCAAGTCATGGCCATGACCTAATTAACATGTTCCCCTGCTTTACTAAGCTACAACAAAGACATAATCATCATAATTATCTCATTCTCCTGCTTTACTAAGCTACAGCAAAGACATAATCATAATTATCTCATTCCCCTGCTTTACTAAGCTACAACAAAGACGTAATCATCATAATTATCTCATTCTCCTGCTTTACTAAGCTACAACAAAGACAATCATCATAATTATCTCATTCTCCTGCTTTACTAAGCTACAGCAGACATAATCGTCAAAATTATCTCATTTTCTTGCTTTACTAAGCTACAGCAAAGACATAATCATCACAATTATCTCATTCCCCTGCTTTACTAGGCCACAGCAAAGACATAATGATCAAAATGATCTCATTCTCTTGCTTTACTAAGCTATAGCAAAGACACAATCATCATAATTATCTCATTCCCCTGCTTTATCATGGATACAACTTAATTATCTCATTCTTGAGATAATTATTATGACAGATGTTCACCTGTTAAATGGTAGTTGTAAATTTTATACAAGAACATAAAGCTATTTTGAAACTATGCTATTTAGTGCATCTGTTTAAGCTTTAGCAGCTTGTAAACTTGAACACAGGGGATGTTTATGTTCAAAATAGCCTACGATTGAATTTAGGTTCAGCTGGCACAAGATCTTCAAATGCAGTTTCCAGTACTGGAGTTTACAGTCACTTTAGGTGGCCACATGTTACATCAACACTCCAGTTAACTACCAGCGATTACAAGATCCAGGACCAGAAACTGAACTCAGCATCAGGATTTGGAAGACCTTTGTAATAAATCATGAAGTTGGTTACTCAAAGTGTTAAGAACTTAAATTTAGGGATGACTCCCATTTCAACAGTGATGTACTCTACTTCACATGGGCTCAATACCATCTGACTGCAATACTACTGCCTACCAAAAGAGGGAGCCACATAATAAAAAAAGATTCTTATAGTACATTTTAACACTCGCTTGCTTGGACATCGACTATGTCTCCTAGCCTGTGTGCAGTAAGACTAATTTATAAAATAATAACATTATTACACACATATACTAATTAAGTGACATCATTAAAAGTGACAGTCAGCCATGACATTCTGACCACCTCCTTGTTTCTACGCTCATTGTCCATTTTATCAGCTCCACTTACTATATAGGTGCACTTTGTAGTTCTACAGTTACAGACTGTAGTCCATCTGTTTCTCTGCATACTTTGTTAGCCCCCTTTTACCCTGTTCTTCAGTGGTCAGGACCCCCCTAGGACCACCACAGAGCAGGCACTATTTGGGTGGTGGATCATTCTCAGCACTGCAGTGACACTGATGTGGTGATGGTGTGTTAGTATGTGTTGCGCTGGTCTGAGTGGATCAGACACTATTAGACACATCAACATTGTTGGTCCACCATGTTTGTCTTAGTCATCCTCTAGTCCTTCATCAGTGGTCACAGGACGCTGCCCACAGGACGCTGTTGGCTGGATATTTTTGGTTGGTGGACTATTCTCAGTCCAGCAGTGACACGGAGGTGTTTAAAAACTCCAGCAGCACTGCTGTGTCTGATCCACTCAGACCAGCACAACACACACTGACACACCACCACCACATCAGTGTAACTGCAGTGCTGAGAATGATCCACCACCCAAATAGTACCTGCTCTGTGGGGGTCCTGACCACTGAAGAACAGGGTAAAAGGGGGCTAACAAAGTATCAGAGAATCAGATGGACTACAGTCTGTAACTGTAGAACTACAAAGTGCTCCTATATAGTAAGTGGAGCTGATAAAATGGACAATGAGCGTAGAAACAAGGAGGTGGTCATAATGTTATGGCTGACCTGTGCAAAGTGTATGTATATGTGTGTGTTTTAACCAATTAAGGTAGACCCCCTCCATAAGGACCCAATCATGAGCCTGAGAACTATACTGTAGACAAAACACTGATAAAATCAACATGACTCATTTATTCTCAACATGCAATATGAGTCTCTCTCTCTCTCTCTCTCGCTCTCGTTCTACCTCTCGACCCCCTCCTGATCTCATTTACTAGTTTAACATCTGAGTCACACTCCGGCCCCTCGCCACACTGTACTCTACTTCTTCTCGCTCTTTCTTCCTTTATTTCTTATTCGTCCCATTCCCATCTGTCTCTCCCTCACTTTGTCTATCTCTCGAAGGCATCTCTTTCTCTCTACCCCTTTGGAGCGCCTTTGTTTTGCTTTTTCGCTGAAGAGAAAGCACATTTCACACTTCACATTGCACGGACACAGAGTCTGGACAGCATGCATTTGGTCCTAAGCACAGGTTTCTTTAACCCCTGTGTGGTGTTCAGGTCTGTGGGACCCATTTTCAGTGTTTACCGAAAGAAAAAATGATGTGATTTATTATTATTTCAACCTCAGATTCTTGGTCTTTGTTCATTTTCTGTGAAGAACATATAAAATAACCCATTTTCAGTGTCTTCACTCTGTTCACCCCCCACACATTTATATTACACATGTGGTGTTGGGTGAATCCATGGGGAATAAAAGTGTGGAGGTGCTGTGTCCTTCACTCTGTTCTCCTCCTACATGGCCTGCTGTTAGTGTGTGTGTGTCTCTGTGTGTGTGTGTGTGTCTCTGTGTGTGTGTGTGTATGTGTTTGTATGTGTGTGTGTGTGTGTGTGTGTGTGTGTGAGGGTGGACAACATGGACAGGCTGCTGACTGGCTACAGCTGCTAAAGGAGAACCCTACGCTGGACATTTGTGATATTTTAAACATCTGGTATTTTTACATAAACTGTTATGGCTGTATTGATTATAAAAAACAATAATGTAGTGGGTCCACCAGACCGCTGAGTAACATCAACACCACACAAGGGCTCAAGCAGTAACTCTCTTATTCTGTTTTGACGAGAACTGTAACCTGCTCCGCATGTACACTGCAGAAATGGTATCTTGTCAAGTAAAATTATCTTAAATATAGTCAATAAATCTAATATTTCTATTATTGAGATTGTTGTAAGTTTATTTTAAGATTATTTAGACATTTTTACCTGTTTTAAATCATTTTATTAAGTAAAATCATCTCACTATACTGGCAGATAATTTTGCTTGTGTTAAGAAATGTGCAGTAAGATAATTTTACAGGTAACAGGTAAAAAATTTCGAGCAATAAACCAGATAATCTTATAATAAGTGCACAACAACAAGTGCTCAAAATAGGAAATATTAGATATATTGACTAGATTTAAGATCATTTCACTTGACAAGAGGCCATTTTTGCAGTGTGATAGACAACAGATGGTTATCTTCTCTTTTATATGATGTTAGAATGTACACAGAGGATCATTTCTAATTCAGTCTTTGTTAAATCCATTTAAACATTTTTGGCTATTCAATGTGCCGGACCATGCTGACGGAAATCCCCCATGATGCACTCACACAACCAGAGTCTTTGAATTGAGCGCTCCATGATCTTTTGTTTTTTGGCACTGCATGTTTATATGATTTCATGAGCACATCGTGCTCTTCTTCTTCTTCTGCCAGCAATTGTTCTATCCTCGCCACCTGAAATAGGTAAATGTCTCAGCTTCTAAGTAGCCAGGACTGGTGCTGTTTTTGTGTTTTTTAACTGCTGTAAGGTTACATCCAAGATAGCTAGTCTAGTTTGCACAGCTGGATATACATTTGCATGCAAATGTTTGGGCGTCCCTGGTCAAATGACACGTTTTGTTGAAGTGAAAATGAGTTACTACGTCCTTCACAGAGTTATTGTTTGTTCGATAAATTTAACATATTAGAAAAAAACTGGCCTGTGCAAAAGTTATGGCACACTTTACATTTGATTACTATTTTTTTTTCCAATATCTTAAACATACCAATTAAATAGACATTAAAATTAAAATTAAGACTAAAATTAGCATAAAAATATTAATGTGTATCCTCTGTAGAGAACTTATTTTTACTTAGAAAATCAATAAAACATGTAGACCCAGTGGTGTTCAAACATTTGCATACAACTGTAACTGTCACCAGTGAAGTAGTCTCAGCCTCACTGAATCTACTGTATGTTAAGCTGCCTATTGGGATTGCATTAGTTTCAGTATTATCAGCTATCTTTATGCACTTCCATACAGAAAGTTTTATCTGTCCCTGGGAAAAAAAATCTCTAAAACAACAGTGATTTATTTTTTGCAAGTCAGTTAAACGGCCCCTTCCTGTCAAAGTAGGAGGCTCTTTGCCACAGCAAAGGATGGAATGCACCAGACTCTCTGATGATAGGTGGAGGTCTGACTTGCGAGACTTTTACTGGTGCAGCTAAATCAAACATATCCTCATACAGAATGTCTAATTCATGTGGATTATTTTAATAAGCGTAATAGCCAGCTTGCGTAAACATGGTGTTTGCTTTTTTACAACACATTACAGTTACATTTAATCTCATTTAATCTGATATTAATGCTAAGAACATCTACAAAAAAGGCTACCCACCTAATAAATGCCAGTGTAACCCATGTATGAGTGCATATTTTTGTGTGTGAGGTCATCCTACCTTCCACATAGCAAGGGTTAGTATAGCCAGCACCAGCAGTCCCAGTAGAATAGCCAGAATAATCACCCACAGGGGAATGGCAAAGGACACATCAGGAATTGCCCACACCACAAAGGTACCGATCTAAGCAAGGCAAGACAAGATCATTTATTCAGCACATTTCATACACAAAGGTAATCCAGCAAGGGCTTTACAGGATAAAAACATCCTAAAAAGAATTCGTAAAAAGATGGAAATAAAAAACATACATCGTATATATCGCTGCTGTTGGAAGAAAACCTCGTATCTCCAAAATCGTAACTTTACAGGAGAAGGAAAAAACCTACTTTACTTTTAATGTAAGTCAACGGAACCAGATTTTTTACCAAGTCATTTTGGGACATTTTTTTTGGTCTATTCCTCATGAAATTTACACATAATATAAACACCAACAGGCGTTTTCAAATTATGTCAAAAACTGAGATAGAAGATTTTCTTCCGACAGCAGCGACATACATATATACACATATAATACATATACATCTGAAAATGCTCTCAAAGATGGCCACATTTGGGACATACACTGACCAGCCACTTCATTAAGCTTTTAAACACCTCAGTGTCACTGCTGGACTAAGAATAGTCCACCAACCAAAAATATCCAGCCAACAGCGTCCTGTGGGCAGCGTCCTGTGACCACTGATGAAGGACTAGAGGATGACCAACACAAACTGTGCAGCAGCAGATGAACTACCGTCTCTGACTTTACATCTACAAGGTGGACTGACAAGGTAGGAGTGTCTAATAGAGTGGACAGTGAGTGGACACAGTGTTTAAAAACTCCAGCAGCACTGCTGTGTCTGATCCACTCGTACCAGCACAACACACACTAACACACCAAAACCACGTCGGTGTTACTGCAGTGCAGGGAATGATCCACCACCCAAATAGTACTTGCTCTGTGAGGGTCAATGGGGGTCCTGACCACTGAAGAACAGGGCAACAAAGTATGAGAGAAACAGATGGACTACAGTCTGTAACTGTAGAACTACAAAGTGCACCTATATAGTAAGTACAGATGATAAAATGGACAATGATTGCATAAACAAGGAGGCGGATTTAATGAACTGGCCAGTCAGTATATTTGAGATCTTCTGGCAGCTTGTTTCTAATTCTAGGAACTAGTAGATGACCATAGTCATCTGACATGCCAGTTGGATTTAGCCATTAGATGATTTATAGACGGGTTAAAATACCTAGAAATCAGCTCTTTAACTAACTGGCAGCCTGTGCAGAGATTTTAATGATGCAGTAATAAGCTCTTTGTCTTTATAAGCTTTTTTATTGTGTGAATTTTTTTAACACCCTGGTCAAATCACATTTTTAAAATTTTTTAAATGAAAATAAGTACACGTCCTCTGTCGAGAATAACATTAAATATGGCATTTTCTGCAAGTCTTAGGGCAAAATTTCAATTTTTTTGCTGAGTTTAATATATTGAGAAAAAGCATCACATATCAGACTTACCATAACTTTTGCACAGGCCGTGTTTTTGTTTCATTTTTTCCAATATATTCAATTCAGCAAATAAACAGGAATTGTGTATTAAAATGCACAATGTGTTCTCTGTAGCATATTTTTACTTTCATTTTCAAAAATCAACTGTGGTCTGTGTGAAAAGTATGAAACACTTTGCTGCTGTAGGAACAAAACCTTGTATCTCCATTTTTGTTGTTTTTCAGTTTTAGACATAATGTGAAAATGCCTTTTGCCCTTTACATTAGCTATAAATTCATAATTTCATTTCATGATATAAAATCATGATTAATGGACTAAAAGAAATGACCCAAAATGACTTGGAAAAAAATCTGGTTCCATTGACTTACATTAAAAGTAAAGTAGGTTTTTTCCTTCTCCTGCAAAGTTACCATTTTGGAGATATGAGCTTTTGCTTCGACAACAGTGACTTGATATTTTATGTTTGTTTTTTTCCAATATTTTACACTCAGCAAAAAAACAGAAATTGTGCACTAAAATTGTCATATTCAAGATTGTTCCCTGTAGAGGATCTTGTAGAGAAGTTATAAATATGTTATATTAATATAAGTACATAAATATAAGTTAATAACAAGATAAGCATCTACAGTGGAGCATCTAAAGAAAGTGTTACCATACCAGTCCCACTCTTTTTGTAATGAGCAGAAACATACTGTACGTGTCCAGTAGAAAAATCCATGTGTATGATAAGTGTGTGCTTATTAAAGGTAATTCTGATTCTGATTGAATACATATGCTTGTAAAATAGAGCTAAGCAGTGTTTCATTGTTTTAAACCTTATGGTCTGGGACTCTGGATGAAAAGAAAAGAGGTGGGAATTTATGACCCCATAATCCACTTCACCTTCCTATCCAAAGCCAAGCAGGCCTGACCCTCAGAAGTGTTTATTCAACACCACCCCCCATTCCTACTTTTCCCTCTCTCACGGTTCTTTTCCCTCCATTTGCCGATTTCCGGCCCCTCCTCTCAATATCCCACACCCACACACACTGATTACTGCTCACCGAATTACTCTGCTGGGGAAGTGTGTGCGGCTTGATGCGATACGGCATGCCCGTTACTTGGAAGGACACGGTTGAGTTCAGAAGGTAGTGGTCATTCCGCCTCTGCAAGATACAAATGTTAGATTAACTGAAATATAATACACACAGAAACACCAACATGTCAGTATTGCTTATTTCAGATTTCAGCTTGTTTAATTAACAAATAAGCATTTATGAGCCAAATGAGCATTTATTAAAAATGGATCATAATTTAATGCCAAAATGGACAATTCACCATCTGAAAAACATTGTGTCCTGTAATTCACTCATCTTATTTTTCATTAAATTGAATGTTAAACAGTCAGTCATAACTCTAAACCAGTCACTACAGAGCTTTGACAGCAAAAGGCCTATCGTACCTGACCATATTAACCTAAACTCTTGGTGTACATTTTTATCACTACATATGCATGTATTTTCCCACAATCACATACAACTGCATCTGTTCTGCCCTTCCTTGAGGGTGGTGACCCTTCCTTAGTAATTATCGTTTTATTTCCTAATTGTCAGCCATTGCAAATGAGATGAACTTGATCTGGTGTACCACCAGTGTATATACTGGGCCCCCTTCTTTTTTGGTATTTATGTAAGTGAACTACATTATGGTACAAAACTCAGCAGATTCTCAGCGGATTCAAACTGCATTTTGAGACATTGTTTGCTTCAGTTAAAATAGATTCCAAATATGAACAATCATGTGTAGTTAATTTACACATTTTTCTTTTGGATAATTACAAACCAATGCAAGTATGAATAGCCATCACTGATGCAAATTTAACTGAAATATTAAACTGTAAATGTACTTAATAATATTATTTTAGCGTGATAATATCGTACATGAATCTGTTGGCAAGCTGAGGCTAAAGTAAAAAGCAAATGAACAACTAAAGACTAAACAAATACAGATTAGTCGCACACTATATGGAGTAAAAAGTCAGTTTATGCTGGTAATAGGCAGATGGAGTTTTTGACTGAACTCTGCTGGGATGTAATGGCTCCAGCATGGATAGCCAGAAGAAACGGCCAAAAGAGCAACAAAACAAAGACTTAAAGACTTCCTTTAAAATGTGACCTTTCTTCAACGTCATCAGACACAGAGGTCTGCTTTTTGCTGGGCTCTCAAGTGGAGATAAGATTAAAGGGGTTTGGTGTGACAAGGTTAAGCCTCATTAAGCCATGAGTCAGCAGGGTAAGGTGAACAGTTAAGTACAAGACTTTTCTGCATGTTCTTGGTATGAGTCAATGGCTAACATCACCTTCTTCTCCATCACAGTGACTTTGTTCGAGTCAAACACTTCATTATGTGTTCAATGACAGCCATGAACTGTGGGGATGTTGCTTTCATACATTTTTTTTTTTTACAAACTTACAAACTAAAATAAACAGAGCTATTGGCATAGCACTTCCTTTGCAGCCAGATGTTGAGGTAAACCCCAGAGATGAACTCCAGATTTATATATTTTCCACGCAATCTCAGATGACTGTAGAAGGTGAACCCTAGAGATGCACTGCAGATTTATATATTTTCCCAACGATCCAAGAAGGCTGTAGTTATCCTGCTTGAACTTTGGAGTGGCGATCTATCTTTACTAACAACAAACTTCCAGTTCTCAGCTTGTAGAAAGATTTCTCAGTTTAAGGCATGTATTTGTTATTAGGTGTACCACCAGGATCTGTACTGGGCCCCATTTATTTTCAGTATCTCAACAAATTACATGATTTCCATAGCTGAATAACTCAACAATACCTCAACATAGGAAATTATAACAGTGTTTAAGGTAAGAGAAGAGAAGGGAAGAGCAGTGATAAGAGAAAAGAAATGAAAACAAATGAACAAGCATAAAAAACAAAATAAACCCACAAGCATTGTTGGGAAATTCCACAAATGTTTCAAAAAATTCTGCATAATTCAGTCGTTAAGATATAAACTTGTCAGTTATTCAGTGTGGTTGAATGTGAGAAGTTTAATTGATTAGCAGAATCAGAATTGTTTGCATGGTAGTGACAGGAAGCAGAAGTCGTGACACTTACAACACAAATAAAAACATTATATTTGCTATTCAAAACCACTAGTGAACCCACACGTCTTCTGAGTTTTTATATGTAGTGTTGATTATGGTGAAATAGTTGTACATCTGAAAAAAAAAATTGTTTTCTTCGGGGATTATTTTGCCTTGCATGTACCCCTTTGTTTTTCTAACTAGCTCACAAGATATCAACTCCTACAAGATGTAATTTTTACTTCTACTTCAATGTTTTTGCAGTTATTTTAATGAAATATGGTGACTTTATGAGCAAAGACAATATATTTAAATAACTTTCTTAGATTTCACCAAGACAAATTCCATGTACATGCGACTGTACTTGGATGAATGGACTTAAGCCATAAAAAACTTGTGTCATATTTAGTGTCTCACTGCATGAGAGAGAAATACGGGAGGCTGTGTTACCTGTAAAAAGGTGTGAGCCCAGAGCCTTGACCGCACTTTGACCACCGCACTCTGTCCTTGATCCAAACGACCCACAATGCATTTCAGCATCAGGCAATGGATATTGGAGCAATTCTACACACAAAAAATGAGAGAGAGAGAGAGAGACATCAAAACATGAGCACACCATAATAACGTCCTACACACATAAGAGGCAGAGACCACTCTTCATTATTTAATATGACAGTGAGTGTAAGACTGAGTATATAGTCTATAGTCACCCTGACTGCATTTTCAATCAAAATGGTTAAAAAGTTATCGATTTTTCATGAGATACTTCTGAGGAGTTTAGCAAATTATTAAAAGATACAGAGAATATGAGACTCCTAGCAACTGTGCAAGACCTGGTAGACACCAAAACTGTCAGATAAACAGCACTTAAAGCTTCATCTTTGAGAGAGAGGAGAAAATCAAGCTGCTTCAGATCTGAAAACATCCACAGGTGTTTCTGTCCATCCTTCACTGTGAGAAGACAACACTGAGTGCGTTTACATGCACTCAATAATCTGATCATTGGATTTCTGCAGTTATTCGATTATTCAAACGGTCATGTAAACACCATACTCCGATCTAGAAATCCGATTAATAAATCCAGAAAAGAGGCTGGATTTTAGCTCAGTAATCAGATTTCTCAGGGCATGTAGACTCTCACTCTGATTTCTTTCGGGTTTCTCAGTCTGCGCATGGGTGAGAACAGATGGCCGTACCGGAAAAAGGCGAGCAGCATTATTGCGAAACGCAGCAAAACAGTTTTGGGGGCGGCACTGAAACCAAACACGAAATGAATGATTTAAATATTCTTCATCTCATTTTTTTAAAAAAAAAAAAGCTGCTGCGTTAAGTTTGAGTTTTACATTATGTTTACGTCACGACTTCTTCCGTGAGTTTATTGGCTGGTTGCAAAGCAGAAATCTGATTACTATCTGATTTATGTAGACCTGGAATTTCCCCATTATCTGATTACTCAAGTGTATGTAAACATTTTGATTGGATCACTGACAACATCAGATTTTCTGTAGTTATCGGATTATTAAGTGCATGTAAACGCATCCATGACTACAGTCTATAGTCATCCTGACCGAATATGTGTGCATGTGTGACCTTTACCTTTACCTTATCTTTTCCTAACATGTGACTGACACCAGCTGGTGCACAGACACACATGCACACACACACACACACACACACCACTCCATGCAGAGGCAGCTCTGGGCAGCACAGTGTGAGCGATGAATGTCCAGATCTGAGATTTACAGGTGAACTGACCCCTAGAGGTCATTTAGGTCCCCATAACACATGTCAACCTGAACTTAAGAGTCAACACGTCATATTTAAGTGACTGTTCCCACGCTGTGGGAATCAAGTGATTTGTGTGTGTGGACTGTGGATAGAGAAGCATGTGTGTGTTTAGACTTTTAATGTAATGTCAATGGTTTTGACCAATGACATTGCTTTTGCATTGAGACAGTGATTCATTAAATGTGCATGTTTTAGGCAATGTGGTGACCGTGGCATACCCCCCCCTGCTATGCTGGTCTGTCTGGCACCATACACTATAAGGAGAAAAGTATTTGGACACCTACACATTATACCTACGGGAGTGTTAATATGGAGTTGATCACTCCTTTGCAGCTATAAACAGCTTCCACTCTTCTGGGCTTTCTACAACATTTTGGAGTTTGTCTGTGGGAATTTTTGCCCGTTCTTCCAGAAGAGCATTTGTGAGGTCAGACACTGATGTTGGACGAGAGGGCCTGGCTCACAATCTCTGTTCTAGTTCATCCCGAAGGTGTTGGATGGGGTTGAGGTCAGGGCTCGGTGACGGCCAGTCAGTTTCTTCCACATCAAACTCACCCAGCCATATAGTGTAGGTCTGGTTCGATTGGCTTAAATTACCCACATCTTTACCTGTTGCTGTTACATGAGTGTTAGACACAAACATTTTTTTCATTATCACAAATAAAGTGCTGTGTACAAATGCCAGGGAGCTAACATTAGCTGCTATCCGCACACTCTTTAAACAGCGGAATTCCACAACTCTTCTGTGATGTACAAACCCAATCCCAAAAAGGTTGGGACAGGAGGTAAAATGCAAACAAAAACAGTCATTTGTTAATCGTCACTTACCAGGATTTAATTGAAAACAGCACAAAGAAGAGATATTTAATATTTTACCTCATCAACTTGATTCATTAATGTGACGAACCGGCGTCCTGAAATGACCCTTCATGAGCTCATCCTACTCAGTAACGTCACGTGAATGAATCACGTTCATCATCAGCACAAACTAACGAGCAGAACGAGCTTCGCTGAGAAGATAATTAACTCTGATCAGCTCTCAGCTTCATTATTAGAGCGAGACGAAGGAGAAAAAGGTGAGATGAGCTGCTTTTCCACCGTTTCAGGCTTTAACTTCTGTTTGGCGCTGCTGCCATGGTAACGCTGAATGATGGAGCAGTGGAAAAAAGCACATGAATTCAGATCTGAGGGTCACATTAAGGTCGCATGGCCACAAATCAGATACGTATCCGATCTAGGACCACATATGAAAGGTGCTCCGGTTGGATTTGAAAAGATCAGATTTGTGTCCACACAGCCCTGAAAACATCAGATCTGAGTCACATTAGGGCAAAAAATCAGATTTGGACCACTTCAGCCTGGTAGCCAAAAACTCTTCTATGCAAAGCGGAAGTCATACATCAACAACATCCCAAAATGCAGACTTCTCTGGGCTAAAGCTCATCTGTGATGGACTGAGACTGAGCGGAAACGTGTGCTGTGGTCAGAAGTGTCATTATTGTTTAAATATTAAAACTTCACAAAAACACGTGACAGCAGTTTAACTGGAATAACTACAAGTGAACTTTAAATTTGACCTGTCTTTGAACATCTTCACCAGGTGTAACTCTCCAATATGAGAACTGATCTGTCATTTTACTCACTACATCAATGTTCTAGGATAGGATGGTGCCTGAGAGTTCTGAGTCATGTGATCCTCCTCTGAATTTTGGGAGCACAAGAGTCTGAGTAGCAGGAGAGTCGGAGGGAGGCATGACAAATTGACTAGTCCAACATGTAGCTCCATTATCTTTTTGCGATGTAAACAGTGAGTGCGTTTACATGCACTGAACAATCATAATCAGATTTCTGCAGTTATCTGATTATTCAAATGGTCATGTAAACACCATACTCCGATCTAGGAGTCTGATTAAGGAATCTGATAAAGAGAGCTGGATTTTATCTCAGTAATCAGATTTCTCAGTGCTCTTACTCTGATTTCTTTCTGATTTCTCAGTGTGCGCATGCGTGAGAAGAGATGGCGGTGCAGGAAATAAGCAAGCACTGTTGGCGCGAGACGCAGCAAAACAATTTTGAAGCGTTGCTGAAACCAAATACATGCTTGACGAAATGAAAGATTTAAATATTTCTCATCTTCTAGATGATGTATGTTCATATTTTTGGTAAAATGGCACCTTTGAAAAAAAAAAGCAGCAGCATGAAGTTTGAGTTTTGCGTTACATTTACGTCACGTCTTCTTCTGTGAGTTTACTGACTGTTTGCAAAGCAGAAATCCGATTACAGCCTCACTCGTGTAGACCTGGAGTTCCCCATTATCTGATTACTCAAGTGCATGTGAATGTGTTGATCGGATTACCGACAAAATCTGACTGTCTGCAGTTATCAGATTACTAAGTGCATGTAAACACACTCAGTGTTTTAAATATGATGAAATGACAAACCACATGGGGAAAATCCAAGTCCATGACTTTTCTAGCACTTATTATTGTGCATAACTTTTCCAGGCCTTTAAAACTGAATTTCTATTTGTGTGCTCCTGCTGGTGTGGGTTCACGACTGTTTCTTTGCACAAAAAAAGCCACTTGCATGCTTATAGGACCCAGTGCTAATGGGCACAAGTGAATGAGTGGTTCAAAAGCAACATCCACATGATTTACTCTTCTCCATCAATATTCTTTCCCAACATGGCGATTAACACCTTTGAAGCATCTGCTTACCTGTCAGTCACTAGCCATATCTGATTATTCTGTCGTACCTTATGACAAAACTATATTTGTTGTAATGAGGCCTGTATATGCCTGTATGTTAAACATCTATTTATTTCTGAATATGAATGGTAATATAGTCTATTGGAATATTTAAGAAAGACATATTGGTGATTTTGAAAACTGAATATCGCCCAAGCCAGCGTGAATAAGTGTGCGTACCAGTGTTTTGCTGCTGTAGCTCTGTGTGCTGGTGACAGATCGTCTGCGACGGGTGGGGCTGCTGCTGTTCCGCAGAAAACCCAAAAGCTCTGGAGTGTCCTGTAGAGTGGAGGTCTGAGAGAGAGAGAGAGAGAGAGAGAAAGAGAGAAAGAGAGAGAGAGAGAGAGAACATCAAACACATCAAAGGCATAAGAGACATCTGTAAGTACAACCACAAACTTGAAGGACATGCTAACATAATTGCTTTTGTCCTGCACTGCAGACTTTTTCATTTGTTTATATGCATTGCAGGGATTTCTGGGTACTGTATGCAGAAACACAATAACAGGAGCCCTACAGAAACCATCCGAAGGAAACAGCGTCAGCACGACGCGTATTAATAGATGGCCTGCGTAACATCATGTGGTCAGCACACATTTGTGTTGTGTTCAGATCAAAGCCCTGAACGGCTCGTCTTTCTCCTCTGAAGTCACCAGTAAAGCAGCTGAAGGTCAAGACGGACTTTAACAGCTTTGAACCTCCAAGTATAGTGTGGACACACAATCCATTTAGGAGGCTTAAAACGCTTGTAATGCCTTATAACCACTGCTACGAAACCAGAAGGCTTCTGGGAAATAGCACTTACACTGCCTTTCACAAGTTTGAGGACCCTTTTTCCTTCTCTTGAAATCTGATGCCCTAAATTAAACTTTCCCTATTATTTTTCAATTGAGTAATATTTTGTATACTTGTATATGTACAGTATATGCAAAAGTTTGTAATTTAGTGTAAAATGATATTTATTTGGTTGCTAAGCACCTATCTGTTCAGAAAAAACACTAATATTACAATAAACACAAATAACATCAATACTTCCAAACCTCTTTTCAGGCAAGTATTATAGTCCCCCAATAACCGGTTTGACTAATCAGATCTTAATTATCGTTGCTGTTGGAACAAAACCTCATATCTCCATTTTTGTTGTTTTTTTGGTTTTTGACATTATTTGAAAATACCTGTTGACCTTTACATTGTGTGTAAATTTCATGATGAATGGACCAAAAGAAACGACCCAAAATGACTTGGAAAAACTTCTGGTTCCATTGACTTACATTAAAAGTAGTGTAGGTTTTTTCCTTCTCCTGTAAAGTTACCATTTTGGAGATACAAGGTTTTGTTCTGACAAACAGCGTTATGTTAATTATACTGCTGATGGAATTGAACAAATCTATGGAATTGCTCACAAGATATTTTTTCGAAAAGAAAGTCTTGCTACTTTTTACTGCATTTTTTTTTTACTGTGCTTTTTTGCATCCATTCGAAACGAAGTATCATGTTTTTACAAGCACAAATAGACTTATTGCCAAGATAGAAGGTTTTAAATAATGTGCACAGGTGCCTAAGACTTTATATGCCATACTATATACCATATTATATACCATACCATACGTACCATTGATTTCAGTATAAAAATATATCATATACACTCAACTGTACATGGTATATTTTTTTTTACTTCCTGTTCATCAGAGTATCTTCCTTGATATGAGGGGCTGGGTTTGTAATGATTTAACAGTTTTCTTTTCCAAACTATTGTTAAAATTTTCATCCTCTTCTGAATTCTGGGAGTTGGACTTTGGGAGCACATGAGTCTGAGTAGCAGCAGAGTCGGAGGGAGGCGTGACAAATTGACTACTCCAATGCGCAGCTACATTAGTTTATTTGCGATGTAGACAAGGTTTCAAATGTGATGAAATTGACAAACCACATGGGGAAAATCCATGAAGGTCCATGACTTTTTCAGCACTAATTATTATGCATAACCTTTCCTGGCCTGAAAAACCAAATTTCTGTTTGTGTGCTCCTGCTGGTGTGGGTTCACGACTGTTTCTTCTCTTAAAATGACACACACAAAAGCCGCTTGCATGCTAATAAGACCCAGTGCTAATAGGCACATGTGATATATGTTCCTAAGACTTTATATAACATACAATATACTATATTACATACCAGACCATATATACCATTGATTTCCATATAAAAATATACCACATACACTTTACTGTTTATGGTATATTTTCTAATTTGCACCTTCATGTTCAACAAAATATCTTCCATGATATGAGGAGCAGGTTTTGACTAAATAATGATTTAACACTTTTCTTTTCCGAACTGTTGTTAAAAGCAAAGGTGGTTTAATTTACTGAGAAGCAAAAAAGTGTAGCATTTTCTTTTATTCCCAAAGTCTTTTTAAATATGTTCCATCAATGTTGTAGTTTTTGCAAAGAAAAAATGAAAAGATCTAAACAGCTTTTTGTGTAATGTTATATGACACCGTCACTGCTGGAACAAAATACGACATCTACATTTTTGACGCTTGTTCTGAAGTTTGCAAACACCAGCTGGTCTCGGCATTGCATAAAAAGTTCATGATGAAAACAACTTGCATGCTAAAAGCACCCAATGCTAATGAGCGTGAGTGAGTGAGTAGTTCTGAAGCCACAGCCACGTTTTACTCTTTAGATCACTATCAATGTTCTTTCCAAACATGGTGATTATCATCTTTGAAGCATCATCATCTGCTTACTTGTAAGTCATTGGCGATATCTGATGATGAAATCTGATTATCTGAAAATTTAATGATCAGACCAAAAAAATTACCCAAAATTACTTGTAATAAAATCTTACATTGAAAGTTTTTGCTTCTGCTGTAAAGTTATTCAGATACAGGATTTTTGGGGATACAAGGGGGCGAAAGGTTTTTGTCATGCAGAGATGATATATAAGTAAACACAATATAAAGTTAACACCCTATTAACGTCATTAAGATTTTTTTTATGGGTTTCTTAGTTAAGCTCCTTTGAAACATCAATAGTAGTTCAGGCTGAAACCCAGCCGTTCACTCGCTGTTACTGTGACTCTGTGACCGTAGCCCTCTTGTCCAAATATGGCTTTTAAACTGGCAAATTTTCCACCTATTACAGTGGTCAATTTATCATGGAAGTCAACTGATTCTGAATTATCATTTACGAGCAAAACACATCACCGTTCCCAGCGAAGATCAGTGGATTGGCATACTACACTGGACAGCATGTTTTTGGCAAACTTTAACCTAAACTTTTTGTTTCTGAGGCTTACCAACGGTTTACATCTTGTGGCAAACCCTCGGTATTTACTCTGGTAAAGTCTTCATTGTTGACTTTGACACAGATACGCCTCCCTCCTGGAAGATGTTTTTCATCTGGCCAACTGTTGTGAAGGGGTTTCTCTTCACCAAAGAAAGAATTCTTCTGTTATCCACCACAGTTGTTTTCTGTGGTCATTTGGGCCTTTTGGGGTTTCTGAGCTCATCAATCTGTTCTTTCTTTTTAAGAAATAGTTGATTTGGCCACATTTAAGCTTTTCGCTGTCGTCCTGAGGGGTTTGCTTTGATTTTTCAGCCTAATGATGTCTTGCTTCATATACTTGTAAGTAAGATAATGAGGGGATAATACTAACCTAGACATGGAACAGTTGAACAACGAATTTATCCAAGGGGGGGGCTATGTATGAAAATGGTTGTAATTCCTACCCAATTTGCCTGATTTGGAAGTAAATATTCTCATTTTACATTAAAACTATGCTCTCTGAGCTCATATTCATTTTATTTCAGCTCCAATATGCTGTGGTAGACAGCTAAAATAACAATAACTTTGTTGATGTCCAAATATTTATGGACCTGATTGTGTATATTTATCTGTATGTTATGCTTTTTGAAAAGCTAGGCATCTCCAAACATTTGACAGTTAATGTACATGAGCAGAGATGTATTTACTGGATGTAATGTAAGCAAAAGAACTTCGTACTAGCAGCATTTTTGTGTTCGATTTGTGGCTGATTATAAACCTGAGACTACAGACTAACTTGAGACAATGGAATGGTCAAGAGAGACTGAAACTGTCCCTGTTTATGTCTATGTGAGTTCATGAATAAGACATAGACAAAGCAAAAGAGAAGGAGTTCAAGGCATCATGATAAGAAGGAAAAAAATGCACTTTTCCAGCAGCTGGAGGTGATTTTTGACTAAGCAGGCAGGCAGCTGGACCCCCTGTTGCCCCCAGAGTGGTGGGGACAACTAGTCTGGCCTTGACTGGACAAGAACCAGCCCCTCCTCCTACATCTCAGCCTTCACCTCCCCCTCTGGGAGAAAGCTTTCAGTTCTTAATGGGATAGTTCAGCCACAATCTCTAAAAAGCTAACAGCTACATTAGCACAATGATGATACTAGTATTTCCTATTGCGAAAATACTACTCATTACTATCAGGGTCATTCTACAGAAACGCCCACTTTTTCTGTCTATCTATAGGACTCACTGGTGTTACTGATCGTCATTGGTGTTACACATAAGAAAGGTAACACCAGAGACACTTTAATGAAAAATGCATTTTACAAAATGGCTGCTACAGAGCATCAAACCACATGTTGTCAATCATGGAACATCCACTAAAATACGTAATTTAATCCATTTGTATTCTATTTTTTCACAATTGTCTAAGAATAAAGTCGGTCACACCAGAGACTTCAGCTAAAAGTTTCATATGAAATCATGAGCTAAATGAGAAAATCTCTGATAACTGAAAGACACAGTGGACTCACTGTGAGCTTTTCTTCATAGATCCTCAGAAAATAGGTAAAAGGAAGTCAAGTGATGTCATCAGTGTGATTTTTATTTCAAAATAAGAGATTTTTTCTTACACGGTAACACCAGAGACACGACTCCTGAGAAGCTTTCATTATATATTTTACAATATTTACTTGCCATTTGTTTTCTTTATGTCGTTTAAATCATATATTTCATAGTCATGTATAGATTATTGCAGTTAAAATAGCAGAAAAACATGTTTTTTACTCCAAAATATGGCCTCAGCCTTCACACATGACTGTGGGGACGAGCTCTTCTGTGGTGCTTGGAATTCTAGATAATTGATTTAAAATCCAATATTGCTAAATTGAGGCTCAAGAAGGTGTGATTGTTAAACTGACTTTTTTATTTTAAAATATAAATAAATTGTAACCCCAACATGTTTTAAAGTGTAATATATCTGTAAATGCTAGGGACACAAAAATGAGTGTCCCTGTTTCCATAGAATGACTCAATAATCATTAAGACGTTTACGATTAGTGTACATTGTTAGGTTTAGCTTATAGGATTCTCTGGTTCTTGGATGAATATATTAATTTATATTTTGCATTTTTGCACATTTTTATTACATATATGTTTTCATGGCCAGAAAAAAAGTATGTTCTTTTTAAAAATTTCTAGATTTTTATTGTTAATAATAACAGCAGTAATGTTTTTTTTATTAATGTTTTATTATGGTATGGACTATTAGAAATAGTGCAAAGTTACCCTTTCAGAGGTTGAGTGCAAAACATTGTAAAGAAATATTGAGAACATGGTATTTCCGACAATTGTGTAAAACCTGGTAGACCAGCAAAACTGTCAGATAACCGAGTACTGAAAGCTTTTATCCTTGAGCGAGAGGAGCAGGTCAAACACCACTCCTGCTTCAGATCTGAAAATGTCAGAAAAATACTCTGGCAGATTTCTTTGAAACCCTGAAAGTAAGTCTTCTGAAAAAGAATAGAAGCTATAATGAAGACAACACACTAAACTTGTAATGAATTCTTGTTTTGACTGGGCGTTAAGTAAGTCTTGGCTCCTGTCTGTGTTCACACTTAATATTAACATCTGTCTTGAGTGATCTGATCGCAAGTGGACACTGAGACATATAGTCGTTTACACCTGGCATTTCCATGCATCTCAAATTTGTCTCCAGTGATCACTTATGGTCAGACTTTGTGACGGGAAGGGCACCACTGCATTGGTTCATTTATACTGGTTATTGCATGAACTGCAATTGCAACTCATAAACAAGGGAGAAGAAAAAAAAAGCAATGCAAAGAAGCTGATTTTGTCTCTGCTGTGAAGGCATAGCGAATCAACTTCCAAAGTGACTGGATCACAACACATCTCTGAGAAACACTGGGCCCCAGCTGTGCCATGTGCTGTTCATTTATAACAGGCTTAAACAAGATGTATGTTAATACCAGGTGTGAGTGGGGCCTCAGTGCTTTTGGGGGGGGGGTTCTCATCTTCATGTTCATCAGGCCACTGTTTTTGTTGGCAATACTCTGGTTATGTGCAGGTTAACTGGGTCTGAACCTGCATTTCTGGACAGCTGCTTTGGGTCCATGCTATAAAAAGTTCTATACAAATACTACTGAACTGAACATTTGCATCATCGGAGGAGAGTTCATTTGATCATATTCGATTCTTCTGTGCTTCAATAAGGGACTTATATGGTTATGGACGTGAAGTAGGTCTGCACTCCCTGGACCCGCGGGACCCACCACAATATCTTGCGGCATGGGACTAATTTTTCTGTGTTGTGTGCAGAAGCGGGTGGGTAGTCAGCCAACTGCAGGCGGGAGCGGGATGAAACATGCATATAGAGAAATCCCGCAAATTAATGAATGGCCTAAAAAGTGAAATGATCACTAAATTATACATTTAAACCATATAAAATTATAACATAAAACAATTCAAAGAAAAGAAGTCATCCTAAACAGTTGCGAAGCAATTGATCAACAACAGGCAAATTCTTGTAGCTTACAGAAATGTCCGAGCCTTCAGTCTGATGGTCACAGCTGCCAAGCCCAGCACAATACCAAAAAGAATGGTGTATAGTGAAGTTACGTAATAGTAAACCTGATGACCATGACTATCGTATTATTTCAGCAGAGAATTATGTATTTGTGAACAGATTATGTTAAATATTAGATGTACCAGGCCAAAAAAAAGAAAAAAAACAGTGAAGCACCTGACGGATAGCAGCTCAGCTCAACTATATCACTACTGTAAACAATTTTTTTTTCCCCCAGATTCAGAACAAAATCTAAAATGGAACCACCACTATGCAATCTAAATATCCTCATCTTCCACAATAAATATGGTTAAAATTGCAGGCAAACAAAAATGGCTTCATCTCTGTTTGGATGTGTGTGTGTGTGTGTGTTACCTCCAGCTCCAACGGGTTGAGGGTGCCGTTGGCGTGGCAATGGATTGGTCCATCAGTGATGATTTGCATGGCGTAGAGCAGATGTTCCTCTCGATGGCGACTGGGCCAGCCCACCTCCAACACTGTACCGCTCAACGAACTGGGGCCTTTGTTGTGCAACTGAGTCAGTGTGGGATTGGGACAAGAAGAATGACAGAAAATTGGATTAGTCAATCGGCTGGTGAAGGATCCATCCTAAAGAATGATTAGTCAGATGCTTACCACATAAGGATGGCTGTGGTTATACGAATATATGGATATCTGGGGCTGATCATATGGCCAAAGGTTTGTAGACACTTGACCATCACACGTATATGAGCTTGTTGGACATCCCATTCCAAAAACACGGGCATTAACATAGAGATGGCCCAACCATTAATACGGAGTCTGCCTGGTTCAGATGGAATAGAAAAGGCCTTCTCCAAACTGCTGCCACAAAGTTGGAAGCCTAAAATTATCTAAAATATCTTTGCATGCCGTAGCAGTAACATTACCCATCACTGGTCAGTGGTCAATTTCCTACTAACCTAAGCAGAACCAACAACAACATTCTTACAGCAATTGACAGGTATTAGAACGTGCTGAGCTGAAACCAGAGCGCAGTACTTAGCTTTAGCATCCAGCACTGCTCAGAATGGAATGCAACCTGGCTAAGCAAAACATGCTCACACTCCAAAGTCTGACATGAAGCAGCCGAAAAGCGTCTGGCTAACATTACAGCCAATTAAAACAATTATTAGCTGCAGGACAGGCCGCGCTCGCTGCGGCCCTTCCTCCGCGAAAAGAGGTCGACTCTATTTTCAAAGACAAACAAGCAATAAGAGAAATAATCCGTGACCACGGGACACGCTTTTGAAGTCCAGTTCTGCTATTGAATATCCTCTCTGTTCCTCTTTTTTCTTTGAAAGCTTTTTTTAAAGCCAGCTTCTCGTCAGTTAACTCTGGGTGGAAATCAAGTGGCTCGTCAAATTGAAGCCTGGTTTAGAGAGGTATGTGAAAGCATCCTATGGCTCTTTTACAATTCCTGACATCTGCTCACAGATAATGAGATTAGGTTGACTCTATAGCAATAGCTGCATTGGCCTGTGTGATTGTGATGTAGGAGTCTGTATCTATTATAATTCTTTATGAAATGATTCAGTGCATCACCAATTCTCTAAATTCAATTTATTTTGGTATGATTTAGAATTTAAAAATAGCAATAATACACAAATGTGACAGGAGGAACTACGTACATAGTGCTGGAACATAGACTTTAAAACAACACACCCAAGCCTGAAAATAGCCTGAGAATTTTATTTTGGCCAAAGTTTTCATTTGTGTTCCAAGGGACAGTTAGGGTTGGGTGAGGCCTAGTTGTATGAGAGGTGAGCCAATAAACTGAAGGTTGTAGGTTCAAATCTCAGGACTGCCTTGGTATACCTGGCTATGCTCTTGGGTGCTGCTCTGCTGGTGCTGCTCCCTGACCAGGTATAGTTATCATACTTTCACACTAGCAGGACACAAAGCGACAGGCGTCCAGTTATTTCCTAGGGGAGTACACGATTTGAAGATGCGACAAGCAGCAGTCAACCCAGCCACACAGTGACCCATCGAGTTGAAATTTTCTCAGCTTCATTTAAATGAACTATGATGCGGTGAAGCGACAATCTAAACGATTGGCTTAAACAAAATCCTCGGACCAATCGTAGACACGGGGTCTGAGGTCCCCAGCCTGGTCCCCCAACTTTTTATTCTTAGCAGCATTTCGTTCCTATTCCTAATAGTTTCATTCAAAATATGGAAGAGAAATATATAAACTTGGCAATATATATAAAACACTTGCTTGTCAGAGGCTCATCAGTGTTCATGCCCTCATGCAACAACAAGAGCTGCGCCCACAAATTTCAAGAGACTTGTCGCCTCCTAATATGAACATAAGGTTAGGCAACAAAATGACAAATTTCTCTTGTAGGATGAATAAAATATATAGCATTATAAAATATTTTGGTGGTGTTTAAAATATGCTAAAAAATAAGTGAATTTAAAGGCACATTTTAAAGCTACACTATGTAAGGTTTTGGGGGTTTTGGAGACCTCTCTGGTGGAAATGTGTACCTGCACCCAGCGTGAGCAAGAACATCTTGTTCCCTTCCCCAAGTAGATGAATCTGATGGTTGCAAGTGCGTTGGAAGAGTATTCAAAAACAACTCAGGCAAAACTTATGTATGCAAGTGAATTATTCACTATTGTAATTATCTCTTCATCGGCATAATATTGATTTTTCAAAATCTGACCCGACATATTATTTCAGGCTTTATGTACGGCTCACAGCAGCACACACATGACTCAGTAATGCTGCTTCTTTAGTTTTAACATAATCACACACAGTGCAGCTTTAACAGATCAGGGATTGGCTAAAATAAGTCTGATTTCTTTTTTTTTGTTATTTCAGTCCCACTTTACATTGTCTCTAATAACTGTGTAGTTACATGTGAACAACATATGCAACAACAATGTAACTACTAATGATTGAGTCACTGTTACAGACAGATTACAGAAGTACACCTTGTGTAATTATACCTGTGTATCAACTTCAGTTTTACCTCGTAATTACACAAGTGTATTTTAATAGTTGTAACAGCCTATTCTCTCTCATGTAATTACACAAGGGTAATAACACAAATGTAATTACACCTGTAATCAGACTGGAACAGCAGTTTCTTTTAGAAGTTTTTTTTTTTTCCCCAGCAGTAAAAGGAAGGATGTAATTACTTACATTAAGGCATTACTTACACTGTATCTATGTGTGACAGCATGGCAGACGTCCCTTATCTTAACATTTAACTTCTATGACATTAATTAAATGTGTTACCTCCAAAGCAATGTCTATATTACCACTCCATTATTACACAGTAACTACATAACAACTACACAGGAACTGTCCACATTTTAAAGTGTAGCTTTAACACTACAGGAAAGTTCCTGTGTAGAAGACACACATGTGTAATTACATGAGGCAAAACTGAAGTTGATATACATGTGTAATTATATGGGCTGTACTTCTTTAATCCATCTGTAACAGTGACTAAATTATCAGTAGTTACAGTGTTGTTGCATATGTTATTAATGTGTAACTACACAGTTATTAGAGACAATAGAAAGTGGGACTATCTAGAACATCACTTTATGCAAATAATACAAACAATTATACTAAAATAATGTTTAGTGGACTAGTACTCATCAGTCTAGCACATCTTACCTTAATGTTGCTGTATTATCTATGAAAATCTATTGAAAGGATTAAATCAGATCTGAATCGGACAATACTCGACATTTAAGTACTGACTGGAGGGCAAAACTACTGGATCTGGACAGCCCTAATTTTACCACATTAATTCTATCACTCGACTTTTTACTGAACCTCTCATATTTCTTTCTAAGTAACCCAAAACAACTACAGTTCCAATGAATATAAAACCATTTTTACCTCTACTACTTATAGAAATTAATTAAACTAGAAACACTATAGTTATGATTACCTTTATACCACATATAGCGCATTATTAAAACTGGTATCTGTGGCACTTGTAAGCGGCACTTAGCTACACAAATAAATGGAAATTCCCCACAAAGCCAGGAATACAGACTCGCGTGTGTGAGTGTGTCTGAGTGTTTTATTAGTGGTCTGGACTCCTTTGATCAGGCTAAAGTCTTGTGCTGTTTACTAGCTCTTTTAGTTTAGCAGGGCATGCTAGCTCCACTGATGCTTCTGTTTAGCTTCTTCCTCTCTTGTTATTTGGTTCTTTTACTTGCTTTTCCTGCTGAAGCAAATTGTTCTCACATGTGATGCACTTCCTCCTGAGCTACTACCACCTCTGGGCGTGTGTGTGTGTGTGTGTGTGTGTGTGCAGGGACGGTTTTGGCACTAAGCAAAGGCAGGCAGTCGCCTAAGGCCCCCATGTGAGAAGAGCCCCTTAAAAATGCAAATTAGACAAACCTATTCTAAAATATATGTACACATTTCAAAAATAGCTGCTATTATTTCAATGCGGCCTCACATCCTTATCATGGATATAATGGACCACTCCATGTTGTTACGTGATGTCAAACGATTCATATCTTTTATATAACCTTTGATAAAGACTAGTAGGAACAATGTAATTAAGAGATAATCAATAGAGAGGAGGTTCTTCAGTGCCCTGAGGAACGACAAAAGAGGGAGGAAAGCAAAAGGTTTGTCGCTACACTACCAAAGCTAACCTCATTTTTCAGTCATAATGCTACATAATTTGACTCAACTAGTCTAAAAATGTGCATCCAGTCAGCCCCATTCCTGTCTTTTGCCCAGAGTCATGGACTCACTAAACCACCTCTGTGTTTGTTTGCGTATGTGTGTGTGTGTGTGTGTGTGTGTGCGTGTGTGTGTGTGTGGTACCTCATAGATATGTTGGACCTGAGGGCCGATGTCGTCTTCTCTGACTGGTTTCTCTTTAGGCTCCCAGCGAGGGAATGGAAGAACCACTTGAGCTGGTAGAGAGACACTGAAAGAAAGAGAGAGAGAGAGGGCCATTCATTTAAGTGCACACATATTCTTCAGTGTTTTTTCAGACATTCCTGTAACTATTGTTAGCGCACAAGCTAGTACTGTGACTTGACTCAACAGTTTCTTTTAATTGGCTGAATTTAAAATGGACAAATATACAATATAAAATATTAAATGTGTCATAACCTTTGCATATATCACATTTAATGTGTTATATTTCCCTCCAGTATGCTAAGGTCATAAAAAAAAACAGTGACTGTGTAATAAATTGTGCGGAGGTTCTCTGTAGAGGACGTGTTCACTTATTCACACTTATAAAATCACCAAAACGTCCAATTGTCATGCAGCCCTCCAGCTCAGACTCACACTTGGACTCCATTTCCCAGCATCCAGTTGGAGATCACATGACTCTGGAACTTTCTCATTCATTCTCGTTCATCCCTATCACCGTTCACAATCACCTGAATACTGCTGTTTAGCACCTGTTCTCTGTATCATATGGCCTCTGTAAGGCCAGGCCTTAGCATGGTCAAGTTGCGAGATGTTGTTTCTCTAGTAGAACTACTGAGCGTTTCTCTGTTTTAACCTTTTTCTGGATTCTCTGACGTTGCCTTTTGGATTTTACCCTTTTGATCTGGTTGTCTTGGTTATGTTTGTATTCTTTTCCTGATTGTGTTTTTGGATCTGACCCACACACGTTTAACGACTACGAGTATCGTCAAACTCTTTTCAAGCAAAGCCTCATTCGCTGAGTTTTACTGCAAACGTCTGACTGGTTCTTGACAAGGGTGCCCAGACTTTAGCAAATGACTGTATATTCTCAAATGATATTCCTCTAAAACTTGCTCAGTTCTTCACCCTAGATTATCAGAAAACGGATAAACCAACATGTATTGAAAACGTGGAAAAGCTGGGCATTGGAAAACTTTTGTGGGGCAGCGTTTGAGGGGCAGGGCCCTGTATTCATCTCTACTGAATGAACGCTGTTTTACTGAAGCTTCTGTTGTCAGTGTGATGTATTTTTTCAGTTTTTCCTGTTTTTCTGCACTTTGGCCACTAGCATGTAGTTCATCACTGGCTCTCAAAAATATCTGTGTATGAGCGGAAACCGGAAAGCAGTTCTGAGGAAATCCAAACACTACACCATTAAATTCACAAACAGAAAAAAATTTTACTTATTTAGTCCTCACATCTCTGTTTGGGACCTTTTTTGATTTCATCACGTGTCTTACCATCATTACAGCTTTCCATCTTCACCTATTACTTCTATTATTTATAACTACGTTGTATTGTCACCATTGGTTTATTTCACTCTGGACTAAATGATTCTAGACCTTCTCCACTGGGGTTAACTACTGTTAGCGAACAGGATACAGTTTAAGATACAGCTTATGTTAAGCTAACAGCTTTTAATCTTTAGTGTGCACGTTTACTAGGTTAAAGCACTAAACCTGCGTTATCTAAACCTAATTTGCAGTGTTGCTACTCTACAAGTAACAAAGTAGTTGAAGTTGCTCTGCTACATGGAGGCTAACTTTGAGAGAAATGCAGCTACCCAGATAGCAAGCATACATCAGCATGCTGACTTGATAAGGTTGACACTCCTCTGACTGTACGCGGCAGTTGATGCACCCTCATACCACCAAGATTACTGTCCTGCCTACAAACAACTGAGAGCAAAAAATGAATATCTAGGCCTAATATAAAAGAATTTTGTTGAAAATGTTGCTAGCACTGTGCTAGAGTGGTTAAAGCTTCTATTAATACTTTATGTATGGTATTGCTGTTAAAATGATTTACCAAACTAATTAACAAAAGATAAAGAAAGAAATGAAGGAGAGATGAGTCAATTGACTGTGAGCGGAAAATGAGCGCTGAAAATTTGCACTTTGTCTATTACTCTGCTAAACCACCACTGGGAAGGGAATTCGCTAAGCACAAAGCTGGTGGGCCGCCAGTTTTGCTGTCAGTGGCCTGCTATCCGCTTGCTATCTGGGTAGCTACAGTACCAGCTACAATAGGCTAATTATTCCACACTATTTTTTACTTTTCAACTGTAATCTGTAGATTTTATCCTCTGTCTTTATCCTTTAAGCACTATTAGGCTGTCAAAGAGCTTTCTGTCCACTCCTTTCTAACATTTTAGATGCGTTGCTCCAAAAAATTGATAAGAATTTCAGCGAGTAACGTTAAATTATCTAGCACTGCCACTGAAAACTCCACAGACATGCTAGGCTGAAAAGCTCATTGGAAGCGACAGCAGTTTGTCAACACTAATAGCTTCCTGCCTACTTGTAGGATCGCTAGTATCTATCACTGTTCATTTGTTAAGCTTTCTATTGGTCAGACACCAAGGTCAAATATAACTTTTATAAAGTTCCTGTATCTGGGATAGGAGGTTGTCTTATGACAGTGATGATAAAGAGATAGAGAAGTAGCAAGAAGGATAACGTCTACTCACCCTCTGATATCCACGTCCGCTCTTGCAACAACGTTCAAAGTCAAATTCACAGGGTTACTCTTCGAATTGTCTTTATTGGAGCTGCAGGACAAAAACAGAAACATGAACATACGTTAGTATTCCTACCTTTACTGTACGGCAATGGTTAGAGATATGGTTAAACTATACCAGAGACATTATAAAGGAGGAGACAGGTCACTGGGTAAAAAGAGGACCATTTGACCCGCCCAGAGAGAACGAGGTCAAATATACCAGAGACGTTATAAAGGAGGAGACAGGTCACTGGGTAAAAGGAGGACCATCTGACCCGCCCAGAGAGAACGAGGTCAAATATACCAGAGACAATATAAAGGAGGAGACAGGTCACTGGGTAAAAAGAGGACCATCTGACCCGCCCAGAGAGAACGAGGTCAAATATACCAGAGACAATATAAAGGAGGAGACAGGTCACTGGGTAAAAAGAGGACCATCTGACCCGCCCAGAGACACCAAGGTCAAATATACCAGAGACGTTATAAAGGAGGAGACAGGTCACTGGGTAAAAAGCGAACCATCTGACCCGCCCAGAGACACCAAGGTCAAATATACCAGAGACGTTATAAAGGAGGAGACATGTCACTGGTTAAAAAGCGGACCATCTGACCCGCCCAGAGACACCAAGGTCAAATATACCAGAGACGTTATAAAGGTGGAGACAGGTCACTGGTCAAAAAGAGGACCATCCAACCCGCCCAGAGACACCAAGGTCAAATATACCAGAGACAATATAAAGGAGGAGACAGGTCACTGGTCAAAAAGAGGACCATTCGACCCGCCCAGAGAGAACGAGGTCAAATATACCAGAGACAATATAAAGGAGGAGTCAGGTCACTGGTTAAAAAGTGGACCATCTGACAGACCCAGAGAGAACGAGGGTCAAAGGTTAGCTAGGAAACGCTGTGCATCAACAACTGAGCTGCCGTTTCTAACTGTACACCAGCAAGGTGGGACTACAAGGGAGGCGTTTCTAATAAAGTGGCCAGTGAGTGTATATAATATGGTTATATGATGAAGGCAGTGTAACTCCTGACTGAAAGTTACTGTCCTACAGACGTCTATGGAACATTTAATGTGTACGACGCTGTGTCTGCGACAGGGAGAGGATGCATGTAGAGTGCATGGGTGCGGGCTGTGTGCGGAACAATGGAGTTTTCAGGAAAAACTGTCAATGCGCCAAAGTTCTCCATGTCAACTGTCTCGCCGGTCATTGTGCTGGGAAAACCGCAGTATCCCAACCGAACCACACACACTCGACCAAAACATCACTCTGTCTGAAACTTACAGACCAGCGCTGTCAAAGCTAATGTCTTATAACATGTTACTGTGCTAAACTATTACCAATTTTTTAAACACATTTTTCTAGTTTGACCCTTCAAACTGTCTGTAGTTCCACCCTAAAGCTCAGCTGCTCCAAAAAACAACAAAAATAAAACTTTCTTTAGGGTCAACTTTGATTAGACAAATGCGATTAATCACAATTAAATGCACAAAAGAATACGATTAATCGTGATTAACTACATAGACTATTGTGATTAATCACAATGTTTGACAGGTTTATTAAAGTTAAGTGCCCACACTCTCTTTAGGGTCAACTTCGAGTAAATAAGACAAATATGACTAATCGGGATTCATTACAGAACAACAATGCGATTAATTGCGATTAACTGCATCGACTAATGTGATTAATTGCAATTAATTACTGAGCTTTTGACAGGCCTATTAAAAACGTGCAAAAGCTAGGTGCCCCCATTCTCTTTAGTGTCAAATAAAGTGGACGTTTCTATAGAATCTCTATTTTTGTCTTTTTCTGCCTGTCTCTCTCTCTCTCTCCATGTCTCTTTCTCTTTACATCCTTCTCTCTCTTTGTCTTACAGTCTACGTCCCTCTGTCTCTCTCCATGTCTCTTTCTCTCCCTCTCTATCTTACTGTCTATGTCTCACTCTCTCTTTGTCTGTCTCTCTCCATGTCTCTTTCTTTCCTTGTCTGTCTCTCTCTCTCTCTCTCTGTCCCTCTCTCTCTTTTTGTCTGTCTCCCTCTCTTCCTGACTCTCTCCCTCTGACTGTCTATGTCCCTCTTTCTCTCTTTGTCTGTCTCTCTCTCTCTCAATTTCACTCTCCCTGAGTCTGTCTAGCTCTCTCTCTCCTACCCTGTCTATCTCTCTGTCTCTCTCCCTCCTTCCTTCTCTCTCTCTCTCTCTCTCTCTCTCTCTCTCTCTTTCATTTGTTTCTTTTCAAGGTAAAAAAAATCATAGGGAGAAGACATGTAGCTAACATAAGCCACCTGGAGAACTTTCCATTATCTCGACACACACACACACACACACACACACACACACACACACACACACACACACACACACACTCCCCACTGTGTGACCCGGCCTTGCTCTGTGCAGTGGAGCAGTGTTTGGGGTCTGTGATTAGACCCTCAGGGAGGCACCCCCCAACCTAGCACACTGCCAGCCTCCTCCAACAGCCACACAAACACTAAACCAACATCCTCTCATAAACACTCTGACTGTGCACGCACGCGTGTGTGTTACAGAGTGTAAGAACAAGAACCAAAGCAGGACAGAGTGTTATTATAACACACTCTTAAACACCCCCCTCAGAGCGCAGACAAGGACAGGCAACAGAGCGAAGACTCTTTTTGAACACGTGTGGGTAAAATATCTCCTCTACTGTTAACAGTACTATCAGTTTAAAGACGAGAGTCTGCACTTCTGACTGAACTTCTCTGCTATGCTTTTGTTTTTATAGCCAGCAACTGCAACTTCTAATGGTTAATAAGGAATGATTTCATCGTCAAACTGTGATAACGTCACATTTTAATGTTTTTTTCTGTGAATAAATCCGACATTCGTGTCTTATCGTCGTGGTAGATTATATTTTGAAAGTTTCCATATTTCATTACCTTATTATCAGCAAGACCACGTTAATATATGCTCAGTGTAACTCTTTTTCCCCGACAGTACATGGTTCGCCGTTTTTCCTCACAAAACCGACAAAAACACTGTGGTGGCAGAGCGGCACTGACGTCATTAACAGGCTGGCGGTGCATGTCAGGCTGAGAGTGCATGTCTGCAGCCAGACCCTTCTCCTTAAACCATTCAGGAGTTTAATCCACCTTTGGGCCAAAAAAGTTTCAGTGTGTTTTAACAACAGTTTGGAAAAGAAAACTGTTAAATCATTATTCGGGCCAAAATCAGCCTATCAGACCAAGAAAAACACGCTGATGCTGTCTTATGTTCATAAAATCTTCTAAACTGAAAAAAACAGTGAAACTCAAACATTATTATGACTTTTTTTTTTAAAGGAGTCAAGATGTCGGTGTTGCTGAGTGGTGCGACCATCTAAGCGTTGGCCCTATCAGGAGATCATAGGTTCAATCCCTGGTGATGCCACAGCCATTCGTGGCCAGGAGTCCAAGAGAGCACAACTGGCCTCTCTGGGTGGGTAGGATGCCTCCCCCCGAGTACTCAGTGTGATGCTAGCCAGCGCAGGCATCTGTTAGCTGATGTAACAGATCTGGTGGTTGGCGCTTTCCTTTCAGTGCTTTCCTGGGCTAGATGTTAACTGTGCATCGACAGATGAGCTACAGCCTCTAACTGGATCTACAATGGAGAGGTTTCTAAAATGATGATGGCAGTAGGATTTGGACGAAAGGGAGTTGTACCTGAGCACCTGCAGTTCAAAGCCAATGTGAGCATCAGCGTCCTCCAAACGCCTCACAGAGAACCGCAAACCAATGGACACCTAGAGAGACGGAGGGAGAAAGAACACCACAGTTATTGTGCAGTTAAATGCAATTAAATAATTACATTATTTATTACATTTACATTTGATTTATTCCAGATACTGAGCATATATGTCTGCTGGCTTGATAAGGTCAACACCCCACAGACTATTTGCCACTGTTGGTCCACCCTTGGACCACCCAGATTACTGTCCTGCATAAGATAAGTTGAATTTTGTCTAATACTCTGCTTAACCACTGGTGGACCCCCCAGAAAACGCTGAGTAAAATGCCAGTGGATCACCAGCTTTGCCATCAGTGGCCCAACAGTGGCTCAGTATCCTCTTGCTATCAGGGATGTTCTGTATCAATGTCTCAAGTCTGCTCATCTGAACTGTCAAAAAAAGGCAAACTTTTCTTGCCACCAAACAGGATTGTACACTGTACCAGCAGTACAGTTCAAATGATTAACAAACCAAACATAATCAAACTGAACACACTAAGAAGTACCCAGTGCACGTCTCAGCACCGACGGAACAGGGGTTCTCAAACAGGTCTCCCCAGATGGTCCACATTTCTGCTCTGTACTCATGTGTTGCAAGGTTGGGGTTCCCTGAGGACCGGTTTGAGAACCGCCATGCAAGGGCCTCCATGCAGTGGAGCAGGCAACCATGTGGTGCACAATGAACCACGCAAACTTGAATTTTGTTTTTTGGTTGTCGGGAGATTGTAAGTTTGGCTCCAGCATAACTGGCCTCACTCTCTCTGGGTGGGTAGGATGGCCCTCCATCCTGCTCCATCACTCAGTGCGATCCTAGCCAACATGGGACTCTATTAGCTGGCGCAATAGAACTGGCAGTTAGTGTTCTCCTCCAAGCGTGTTGAGCTGTCCAGTGATGTTGCATTTAGCGGCAGTTTTGAAAAGATGCACCAAAAGGCTAGCACATGCTGCAACCTCTGTGCTTGGTAACATCTTGGTGGTGTGATGGGGGCCCTAATCAGGAGGGGAACTGACAGAAAACGGGAGAAAATTGGGTAAAATATCTTCAAAATTGCAAAACATCGAAACCTGATCGAAACCCGAGATGCTTGCAGACATAATTTCTCAGCCTCAATTAGAACATGATTTTGCTTTTATTGGCCTTAGCTCTGACTTTCAAGGGTTAAAATGACATCTGTAAGTGACATAAGAATCCCCACAACCCCCTCAAGCACCCAATGCCAAGGCTGGCCCCCCATCCCACCATAATTAACAAAGCAGTGCTGTTTTACAAGGCTGGGGTTGGGGGCGTTTTGAAGATCCTTACTACTTTCTGTATTGGGACAAAAAGTTGTTTCCAGAATCGACTCAATAACAAAGCAATTTCCTAAAGCTATGACATTTCACTTGCTCAGAAAGCTATATATACCACATCCCCCTCTCTCTCACTAACTGTGCCCATATGTTGCAGTTCATTAGTGTGCCTATGATAATGGCTGTTGGGATGCCTAATGAAGGCCAGCTCTGTGGCTAAGGGCTATACTCTAACTCAAAAACGCCCGTAAAACAGGCTCTACAAAGTCTGCCTCATCACAGAGGGGTGAGAGGAACAAGTGCCGTTAAACTTTAAAGAGAGAGAGCCAGCCGCGGAGCCTCTCTTTTTGTGGTCGCACGCTTTCGGTGGGGGAAAAAGAGAGAAAAGTGCCAGAGAGCTGGTACATCACAAACGTCCCGCACTGGAAATGAGGACCACGTTTGTGCGACTGCGTGGGGCCAATGTAAAAGCGAACTTCATCAAAGTTCAGGCTTTACAAGGATCATATAGTTCCGCGGCAACAGTAATTGCCCAATTATGCTGATGAGATGACTACATTTGAATCACAAAAGTCTTTACGAAACCCAAAACAGATTAGCATGTTTAACGTGGGAAAATGCAAAAGACGCTTAAATCGAACTGGGTTTTCCACAAGAATGAAGTTTATTGACTCACCAAAAGCAGTTTGTTGGTACAGCATCCTTAGTTTATGTATGATCACAGAGTAAATACACTGACTGGCCACTTTATTCAAAACACCTACCCAGGGTTTAAAAAGAGGGGGGTTCGAGGGTGTCGGGGGAACCCGAAGACAGAGAAAATAAATGTTGTTCCATGTTATACACCAAGAAATAGAGTTTTGTTAATACGGAATTTTCAATTTAGGCTGTTCGACAACATGCGATGGGTAACATTCAAACTAGTCTAGATGTGTTTTTAAGGCTACGTTCACATTACCAGGTTGAAGTGGCACAAATCCGATTTTTGCCCTGATGTGACTCAGATCTGATGTTTTCAGGGCTGTGTGGACACAAATCTGATCTTTTCAAATCTGACCTGAGGCACTTTCATATGTGGTCCTAGATTGGATACATATCTGATTGCTTGTTCTGCTCGTTAGTTTGTGCTGATGATGCACGTGATTCATTCACGTGACGTTACTGAGTAGGATGTGCGCCTAAGGGTCATTTCAGGACAGTCTGGTCACATTAATGACAGACTTGAATCACTTAAGCTACGTTCACATTAAAAGCCTCATTGCTCAAATCCGTTTTTTGCTCAAATCTGATCTCTCTGACACGATGGTTCACACTCGTTTATGTAAGTGATTCAAATCTGTCATTAATGTGACGAACCAGCGTCCTGAAATGACCCTCATGAGCTCATCCTACTCAGTACGTCACGTGAACGAATCACGTTCATCATCAGCACAAACTAACGAGCAGAACGAGCTTCGCTGAGAAGATAATTAACTCTGATCAGCTCTCAGCTTCATTATTAGAGCGAGACGAAGGTGAAAAAGGTGAGATGAGCTGCTTTTCCACCGTTTACAGGCTTTAATTTATGTTCAGCGCTGCTGCCATGGTAACACTGAATGATAATACGCACAGTGGAAAAAAGGCACATGAATTCCGATCTAAGCATTCTCATTAAAGTCACATGGCCACGAATTGGATACGTATCCGATCTAGGACCACATATGAAAGTGACTCAGGTCGGATTTGAAAAGATCAGATTTGTGTTCACACAGCCCTGAAAACATCAGATCTGAGTCACATTAGGGCAAATAATGGGATTTGTGCCACTTCAGCCTGGTAATGTGAACGTAGCTTTACCTAAACAAGTGTGAACCATCGTGTCAGAGAGATCAGATTTGAGCAAAAAATCAGTTTTGAGCAATCAGGCTTGGGATGTGATAAAAAATCTGAATTGTGCACCTTAAGCCTTGTAATGTGAACATAGCCTTTGAGTCACCAAAGGGCTACGGGATGGCTGACACAAACAGTGCAGCAGCAGATGGGCTGAACGAGAAACTGAGGCACATGAGAAACTGAATGAGAAACTGAGGCGCACAGAAAAATATGCAGCTCAGAACAAACAGATAATGGGAAAAGGATTTTGTTCAATTATGAGAGAAATAAATGCAAAGCCTAACAGTATACGACAGTGTTAGTGTTCCTCAGAGACAGGGCTGGGTTTGACAAAGCTGTAGATGCTTCCCCACAAACGAATCCTTAGAGAATCAAAAGACCTGATAAACGTGTCTCAGCTGTGCATCATTAACACACCATCGACAATCTCTTTTTCCAATAACTTCTGGGTAAAGTCGTCTACAGTCGGTCTGCGCCAGACGACAACACCCTAATGAGGGACGAGCGTGAGGAGTGTGGGAGATATTAAAACAATGCGCTCTATTTTAGTGACATTCATTCCCAGACAGGCAGGGGAACATCTATCTTAAGGCAACAATGAGCGCATTCTTTGGGCCAGTCTCTGCCCATTAATAACCTTCGCTTGCATGATTTACAACTTTAAAGCGGAGATTCATGAACATCTGGTAGTCGTACAACCAAAAGTCATTATTTTAGACTAATCTGCCATCAATCGAAGGCGTTATGCTTTCACCACTTTTTAAAGAAGACTCTTAGAAGTCTACTTATTACTCTGTCTTTACTATAGCATTTATAACAAATTACTTACATAATAAATTAGCTACAGTGCCATGAAAAAGTACTTGCTTTAGTCCTGATTTCCTCTATTTTTGCAAGGAAAACCTGAGTAACCACATTATTTACTGAAGGAAAAAAGTTTTGCGACACCTGTAGCACCCGTGTGAAAAAATAAATGTCCCCTATACTTAATAACATTGAGCAGCAACAGTTTTTCACATCGCTGTGGAAGAATTTCGGCCCACTCTTCTTTGCAGAATTGCTTTAATTCACCCACATTGAAGGCTTTTGAGCATGAATTGCCCGTTTAGGGTCCTGCTGCAACATCTCAATGGAGTTCAAGTAGAATTCTGACTAGGTCATTCTTCAAATCCTTCATTTTGTTTCTTCAGAGCCATTCAGTGGTGGACATTCTCCTGCAGGATTTTCTAGCAGCATTCATGGTTCTGTCAGTTATATCAAGTCACCCAGGCCATGAAGCAGCAAAGCATCCCTAAGCTATCACACTACCACCACCATGTTTCACTATCGGTATAATGCTCTTAGTGTGCAATCCTCTGTTCCAATTTTGACTCAGCCCACAGAACACTGATTTAAAAGGCTTGGTGGTCATCAAGGTGTTTTTTGGCAAATGTGAGACAAGTCTTGATGTCCCGCTTTGCTAGCAGTGGTTCTCTCATTGCAACTCTCTAATTGCCCACTCTGTTTCTAATCGTACAATCATGAATGCTGACGTTATCTGAGGTGAGCGAGGCCTGCAGTTCTTCAGATGTTTGTCTAGGTTCTTTTATCACTGGATTCTCTGGATTTCTGGAGTCCTTGCTGTGCTCTTGGAAGAAGTTTGGTAGGCCTGGACTCCTGGAATCCCAGAGCCTTAGGAACAGCTCTGTAACCCAGACCGATACGAATTTTCTTACTCATCTTTTCCAGAATTTGTGGTACAGTGCACCGCTAGCTGAGATCTTTTAGCCTTTTTGACTTTTTGACTCATGTCCAGACCTCAACATCACTGTAAAGATTCTACGAAATTTAAAAATTGTATTTTTTTCAGGTTGT